CGTCTCCAGCCACTGTGTTACATCATCTCTCGGACCTCAGCCAGGGAGTTGTGAAGGACCAACAGAAACCAGACCTTTGCAGCTTTTTTTTATACCACGACACTATGTCATACACTGACCACCTCTACGTTTTTTCCAACCAGTCCCATAGTCGGCAAATAATGCACGACGTGTAATTCTCTGAATTACGACATTCGTAGAATATGTCCAAGTCACTGAAATCGGTCTTTCAAGATGATAACACTAATTAGATTATCATCTCTGTGCCCGAACACACAATATCGAACCTCTGCCTTATTTACATGGTGTTGCCACTGGATATCAGCAATTCTTCGGAGACAACGATGATCGAACACACAGAGAGTTGTCTAACATCCTTAACTCAGAGAGGCATAGATGATTAACAAATTAGAAAACTTTATCAACTTACGAATATGAAACTAAATAGATGATATGACAAAATAAATAACACTATTTAAAGTTCACTATACATATTCAACTAATTCCTATTTCATTTCATAATATTTTATTCCAATGATTAAATTAAAAATAGACATGAGATAATTGAACTAAATCATATCAGTATAAATGATTATATTTACACTAAATTACACAAAAACAAGTAATAATCAATCATGTGAAGTGTTGTCATAGTTACTATTGAAACTTAGTATCATTTAAAATGTTTATCTTCCTTTCAATTCATTAGTTAGCATCATTCTTTCATAAGTCAAGACTATTTTTTTTTGTTCCCTTTAAACTTCATTGTTCCTATCATGTAAGTTTTATAGAACTAGCTAGTCACTTACAAGTATGAGTGTTTAGTAACGAGGAAGTAGTAGTAGTAGTAGTAGAGGAAGAAGAGGAAGGAGTGTAGAGGTTTCATTATATCTAATTAGCATAGCAACTAATTTATAGTTGATTTACGTACTACTTTTGTTTGTAATGGTTAGTTGTTTTCTTTTCACGTTTTATCTCATGGAAACTAAAAAGAAATTTAAAAAAAAATGCGTTTTTCTTCAGAATTGATATGAATTATTTATTATAGGTGCATAGTAATCATAATGTATAGACCATTTTAAGATTATCATAGATAATGTTATATATTACACAACTGTTCCATTTATATACCATACAAATCAAGTTATTAAGATAATATTTAAAGAATCATAGAAGATATTAGATGTAGATTAAAACAAAGAATATTTAGTGAGGCCCGTGCGATGTTGTCAACGAGCTCATCACTTGAATGGTCATGAGATCTGACTTCAATTAGATTGTATGAATGTTACCTATCCTTGTATTATCTTTATCGACTTCATTCGTGTTAGTGAATAACAGAATTAAAATAAGTCAAATATGAGAATGAAAGTTTTGAATACAGATATTTTGTACAATTGTTGATTTCGACAGGAAATCAGAGGGATAAAGTGGATAGAAGAGAGTGGAGCGAAACGACATGCAGTGGAGAAGATATGTAAGCCAACTTCATTTAATCAAGAGTTAATCAATATTTATAGTTATACAAAATAAGCTACAGATATGTGATCAGTAGGAAAAGCAATACACACACACACATATACTCTTAAGGTTGATAGGTGAATAATTAACAAGGTCAAAATGTGACTCAAAAAGAATGAATAAATTGGCTCATCCGTAAGCTAGAATAAGTTATATGTGCTTAATATAGTAATCGACACTATTCTGTTCAATCATTTCTACGATTGATTTATCATTGTGTGGTGATCGATGTTATGGATATCAGGTTCTTCATAGTGTAGATCGAATCCTATCGACGAAGTTGCAATGTGGTCACTAATCTAGGTGCGTGCACTATGTCCGCGTGACTATCGTGACCAATAGATGGAGACTCTTGGTAACATGAGTCAGAATCCCTTCAACTAAGAAATTAAAATCGCTTCATATCTTTCTTTCTACGAACTAATTCTTTTTTTCCTGTACTATATCTTTATACACAATCTTTCTTTTATATATTGCCACCACTAAATTAACTACTTCTATGAATTCAGAGTTCATCTTGTTGTGCTAATGAGTGTGGTAAGGCAACTTGAACCGGTGCACAGATGTGCCTGGTCCTACGTTGTAGCTGACTGACCGACTACGTACACTTTGTTGAGATATGATTGTGGTTGGAAGCCATCAACAGGAAACCCTGTTATTTGGCACTCGTCAATAATCATGTATTATTGTTCTTTACATTCTACTAAATTTCGATTCGACAATTTTATTGAATTCAATGAGTATTTTCTTTGATAAAAACTAATTAGACTGAAAAAATTGATCAAAATTTATTGAATATTTATAGTAGCTGGAAGAATTATTGAAAACTAGTGTACATTGTAACATTTTTATCTGACGTTTTTGTATTAAAGACTTAGGCTACTCATAAGTAGTTAACAACCAAATGGCTTAATTTTTTTGGTGATTTTCATCCTTGGTTCATATGCCATTAGTTCCTTCAGGATACTGGAGCCCATGTGTACCATTAGTTTGGAATCAGGATTTTCCAACTCTTGTAGGTGGATACGTCATATCCATCAACTCGTCTAAAGCTCTGGACATTTGCTTTATGACCTCTTAATCTTATAAACGACAGCCTCGCCACGAGAAGACAATGAGTAGGACTTCACTGACACTGGCTGTATACGTGTGGCCATGTGAGAGCAGACTCTCAGCACCCTCGACCATACCAGGACATTATTGATCTGTGATAAGTAATATTGAACAAAACTAGCAACCACAAATCCTATTCAATCAAATATAAATCTCCTGACATTACAACTTTATTATTTTGCTTCACTATATATTGTTTTACTTGAATCTTCCCATTGATGTTTAGGACTGCAATTGATCAGTCCCTTATTCGCATATGTGTTTACTGTACATATTGCCTTGATACTGGCTTAATTTACAAGCATTATAAGCAAAGATGGATAGTGGCTAGCTGTGGAATTCAGGACGCGCGTTTCGTCCTATTTGGGACTCGTCAGCTGGATGTACCTGCATCTCAGAGTTGATGTTCACTCTGGGACTCGAACCCAGTACCGTCCGCTTCAAACGCCATCGCGTTTGAAGCGGACGGTACTGGGTTCGAGTCCCAGAGTGAACATCAACTCTGAGATGCAGGTACATCCAGCTGACGAGTCCCAAATAGGACGAAACGCGCGTCCTGAATTCCACAGCTAGCCACTATCCATCTTGGATTTGTTATTTTGCTTTTCAACAAGTTGATTTACAGAGACTTATTGCAAAATTATTACAGTTTAAATAGGGGACGTTAATTAACTCTGCAGTTATGTCGGAAAAAAAGCAGATACTTAGGTTTCATTGGGTAACACGTGATCGGACCATAATGACAAAAAATCAGTTCTAGCAATTAGTCTCTAAAGTTATTTTATCACAATAACAACGAGCGAACAACATGCCAGAGTCCATTTTTCAATGATATAATATCAACTATACAGCAAACCAATACAAACTCAGAGTTGACTCAAAGCTGCTAATGCTAATTAATACATCATTGATTTAGCACAATGACAAAGTTACATAAGTTGGTTTTTCAATTAAACGATTAGACGATGACCTAGCCCACCTAGCCCATACAGGTGAAGACAACTAGTGTAGTAGCAGCCTCTACATTAGTAGGTTTCAACATACACAAAGTAAAAAAGCAAGATCCTCAAATGTAACACAGAGAACATCAACACAATCACACTTGATAGCGAAACTCTGGAAGATGTGGGATCCTTCACGTACGTGAGAAGTATCATCGATGAACAGCGAGGTTCAGATGCAGACGTAAAGGCAAGGATTGGCAAAGCAAGGGCCGTATTCCTACAATTAAAGAACATCTGGAACTCAAAACAACTGTAAAGCAATATCAAATCAAAATCTTCAATACGAACATCAAGGTAGTTCTACTATACGGAGCTGAAACTTAGAGAACTACTACAAACGTCATCAAGAATAAATAGTTGTTTACGCAAAATACTCAACATCCATTGGCCGGATACCATTGGCAACAGCCATCTACGGGCGAGAAAAAACCAACTTACAGCTGAAGAGTAAATTAGGAAAAGTCGATGGAAATGGATAGGACATACATTACGCGAATCATCAAACTGAATCACGAGACCAGCCCTAACTTGGAATCCTGAAAGGAAGCAGAAAACAGGAAAGGGAATAAAATCAGATATAAAAAGGATGAATAAGAACTGGAAAGGATTGCCTAGGATAGGGTTCGATGGAGAGTAATAATGTACGTCCGATACTCCTCCACGAGAAGTAACAGGCGTAAGTAAGCTCAATTAACGATTTTCATATATGATATTTGGTGAACCATACAAAAAATACCCTAATTCTCATCTTAATAATTGTCACTTTTTTTGACAATTGATCATCTACAAAATTAATTTTAAAAAAGGTACTTTCAATAGTTAAGATCATGAGTCAATCGGAGCTAGACCACCATGGAAAACCTAGAAGCACTGGACGGCCGTTTCGTCTTATTGTAGGAACCCACTCCGCGGGATTCAAACCCAGGACCTATCAGTCTCGCACTTGTGCGCTTAATCACTAGACTATTGAGCCGATACCCAACGGTATTATTGTATAACTTCAACTAATTTATCAAATTGAGTGACATCCACCATTGTCATCAGTGAGTTACTATCTCACAACAGACCTGATTGAACTCCATTGATCACTGTTTCTCACTAGAACTCCAGGATATACATGTTGAAGCTCTCGCGCATGAGATTGATAAGTCCTGGATTGGAATCGTGGTTGCGTACTGATGACGAGCACCATAACAAGACGAAACGGTCATCCAGTACTTCCAAGTTTTCCATGATGGTTTAGCTTCAATTGACCCATGATATCAATTATTGAAATTACTTATAATCTCCACAAAACCCTTTCTGATACTTCTTCATTATGTATTTTGTTTTCTTTCTTCTTTCTTTTTTATTATAATTTAGGTTCTTCACCTTCATTAACTTGTGCATTAAGTACAAATGGACATCCAATGAATGATAAAGATTTATTATCATTTTTATTTAGTACAGTATTAACTTATATGGTACCATGTATTTTATTAGTATTTATTAATATAATACTACTGATTAAATTAATTAGTATTAAATCAAAACGACGTATATTATGTAAAACAATGAATAAAAATAAACAATTTATTCATTGGTATACTACTAATACTACTACTACTAATACTAATACTACTAATAATGATCAAATCAATTTATCATCAAATGAATTAATTTCAATTCATCCAATCACACCATCATCGCCACAACCACCCCCACTATCACCACCACCACCACCGACAACAACAACAACAACAACAACAACAACAACAACGAGAACAAGAACATCTTCATCAGTTGTCATAGCAACAAATGAACAAGATAATTCATTTACATCTACTATAACATCGATTTTACAACGTCGTCGTCATACAATAACAGAAGATCGTAAAGAACTTGGTCGTATTGTTGCATTATTATTATTATCATTTTTTTATTTATGTTTTACATTTCCAGTTAGTATTAGTTTAACAATAAGAGCTAATTTAAATAATAAACATTCTAATTGTATACATTTATTATATGCTCATTTATCACGTTTATTAACATCTATAAAAGATATTAATTATGCATTAAATGGTTATACATATGCTGTATTCTTTCAATTTTATCGTACTAAATTATTGAATATTTTAACATGTAAATGTAATACTACTGCTCATAAGAATACTACTACTACTACTAATAATAATAATAATAATAATACTACTAATACTACTAATAGAAGCATTCATAAACATCATTATCGTTATCGTCGAAGTAAATTAGATCATTCAAAATACAATGATGATTAATAGACAATATAGATGATATGGACTATGAAAAGAAGTGAGAGGAGGGGTTCCGTGTGTGTGTGTGTGTGTGTGTGCGTGAGTGTGTAAGAGTGGGGGAGAGAGCATCAAAAAAAAAAAGTGAGAGAAACAAAAAACACATTTTTACACATTCCTTTATGTTACATTAAAAACCAAAAACAAAAAACAAAAAAAATTTTCATTAGTTTCCTCATAAAATTCTACATCATTATTTTGATTATACCATAATAAAAAGTAAACAACAATGACTATAACAATAAAAGAGACAATACACACCCCTCTTTTTCTTTTTTTTTTCTTCAGTTTCTAGGCATAATGACATCATTAATCACATGAATTTCATATTTATTTTAAAGAGAAGAAAAAGAATTTACTTATTCAATGCATTTCATATGTATCTCATATATTTTGTTTTCATAATGTTATAATGATTATTTTGTTTGTTTTGTTTTGTTTTTTTCTTTTCTACATTACTGTTAGGCGGTTTGTTCCATCCTACTTCATGGCAATGAAACATGGCCAGTAAGAGTAGAGGATATTCGTAGGGTATTAGTATTAGATCATAGATGTCTTTGAAGTATTACTTGTATATCTTGGGACCACCGAGTAAGTAATGCAGTTGTTAGGAAACGGGTACTAGGTAAGGATGGTAAATCAATTGATGAAATAATGCAACTTCATCAGTTGAGATGGCTTGGACACGTGTTGTTTATTCAGAACCCAACCATCGACTGCCCCGACATGCGATATTTTCTGGTGTAGGGGTAAGTTAACAGATTTTAAGGGTGGCCAGACCAAAACATGGCACAAATCCATGGTCACAGACAAGTGGACTAAGCCATGTCGTTGGGTGTAAACTACCCGGTTGGGATCTGCGAGATGATAGCAATCGATAGTTAGAGACCCTGAATGACATGGCTCAAAATCGTTTGCAATGGCGCAGGTGCATCCACTCTTTGTATTCTCTCAAATTCTAATATTCTGAATTCTTCATGTCCCTTTATTTTTTCTCTTTCCAAATTTGTCTCACTGTATTATACTCCATGAATAACATCTCCAAACCCTAATGTTTCCGATTACTGTTTATACTCTTACTACCTCTACCATTACGGGATTTGTTACGACAACTGCATCTCTGTGCTAATGTAGTGTGGCAACTCGAACTAATGTACGTAGGTGCGTGCGAAGTTCTACGTTTTTACTGACTGACTGATTATTGAATATAAGTTAATGTCATGTTTGTCTATTCATTAGTTCTGATAAAATTTTATCACTTCAACTGTAATTGGACGATTGAATTAGTTCAATCAGTATCACGTAAACTATACATTGATGTTAGATGAATGAAGATAATCGATAGGGAACCCTGAACTTATGTAACAAGTTAGTAGGTTATCTTTAATCATGAGGGTATTGATGATTTCTGAGGGATTCTAACTTATATCACCTAGCCTCATAGTTTGAAACTTTGTCACTGACTTATTCGGGTGATAAATGATGTCCTGTATGATTTAGATGCGTAAACTGATTGATTATTCAGTAACAATCCTTATGATTGCAGAGAAACCAACTAGTATGAAATCTTGATTAAGGATATCCTACTGACTACTTCTATACACCCAACATCAAGACATAGTTTAAGGTTTTATTTATAATTGGAATTAATAGGCATATTTATAACAATTCATTTACATTTACAGTTTGGTCATTATCACAGCTGAAAAAAACTCTAGGCCTATGGTCGGAGTCCCTGTTTGAACGAACAATGATTGGGGCATGAACATAAATTCTCCACTTTATTTCACCTATTCTACTTGGGCTAACTCCTTTTGAACGACAGTAGCAACAAACAGTCAAGTGACAATTAAGTTCGACGAATTTATTTCAACCACTCATTTACTTAGACAGATGTTAAGATGAGAGATGGGGAAGGCGGACCACCTAACTCAGTTTAATAAAAACGTGATTCAACATTTACAAATATGAAAAATACAAGTAGGCATAAAGACATATCGCACAATTACGCTCCTATGATCAACGTCACAAATATGAATAACAAAATGGCTGAGAAAATTAGAACAATTTGTCTATCCAAAAGTAAAGATAAGTCTCGTAGGCGTGTAAGAATGTTACTTGCTACAAGGCATCACTTATATCGATAAACATTGGTCATACAGTTATCACGAATTGGCTGAAACTGTCTTTAGATTCTAACTCAGTAGCCTAAAAGTAATTCACTTTTTGCCAGTGCTACGTGTTGTGGGCCCCAGTATGAAAGAAGTCTTAGGTATGTACAGCAGAAGAATATTATAGTAGGACAAAACAACTGTCCAGTATTCTTTTATTTTTTAATAGTCATCCAGACAAAATCAATCAGTGATGGAAAATATCTTCAAACTGAAGAATCTCTATAAATCTCTCATAAAAATACATGAATATTACATCAAGCGCTAGTATTCCATAACATCCAGAATTTATTAATTGAGTAGGTATCATTTCAATGTACGTTCTATGATAAAAAAGGAATGTCGAACATTTTAGGAATTCAGTGATACATGGTAACATATTCCTGCAAAATGCTCAATAACTATTCATACAAGATAAACTAAAAGATAATGCTAAACTATAAGGATTTTGATTGTGATGAAGGTATGTAGTAAAATAGTATGACTTCTAAATGGACTCCAACCAGATAGTTTGCATCTACCTACAGGGCTTAGTCTGACATTCGGTGTCACTATGAACTGTTGAAATGTCATGGTTTGGTCGCTCTTGACTTTCTTTCAAACTACTCCTACAGCAGACAACATCGCCCATCAAGGTAAACAATGGTTGGGCATTCGTAACACATGTCCTAACCACCCTATCAGATAAGGGTTTACTACCTCATCACTCGATTTGCCATCCTTATCTAGTACCTTATTACTAACCCAGGCATTGCTTATTAAAAGGTCCCAAAATACACGAGCAATGCTTCCAAGATACCTACGGTCAAATACTAGTAGCCCATGAATATTTTCTATTTTTAATGGCCACGTTTCACAACCGTAAAGTATAACGGAGAGAACCGCTGAGCAGTAAACTCTCCCTTTAGTTGACAAACGTACATCTGACCTAAGCTATAAGCGATGCAAGTTGGCAGACGTCAATTAAACCTCCTGAATCCGTGCTGAGATTATGTCAGACACCAACCCTTAGGGATAATCAGACTTCTAAGATGAGTGAATTGATTGACACATTCAACTATTCCACTCCCTATCATTAATTCAAGCGTTGACGCAGACCAGTTCTGAAACAAAGTTTTGCACTTAGAGGGAAAGAATTGCATCCCAAACACGCTAGCATTATTACTTAAAGTGGTCAGAAGACCTTATTTTGTCGTTTTTACCAAACAGGACTACATCACCCGAATATTTTAGGTTAACAAGCAAATTTCCTGGTAGGAGATCAAAGTCTGAAAATTCAAACGATGGTGTCATCTATAAACTATATCTATAATAAAGTTAAATAGAAATGGAGGAAGTGGACAACCTTGACAGACACCAATTAAAGCAACGAATTCAGATCACGGTTCCCCATAAGCTCTGACTCGACAATTAGTGTACGAGTAGAGAGCCTGTACAAGGTTAATGTGCTTTTTTGATTTGCTTTATAATGCCAGACAGTCGCGGAGCCTCACAACCAACGGAGTCAAATGTCATCTTAAGGTCAGGGAATACAATTATAGCTGGATGTCAAAAAGTCTATATTCCAGAGTCATCCGAGAGGTGAATATTTGGTTTATAAATCCACGTTCATTTCTAAAATAAGCTTTGTTTTCCCGGATTTGCTCTCCAAAAGCTCTAGTTAGACGTCGAAGTGTTAATGAAGCTAATATTTTAGATACCACAGTAGTTACTGATTCCTCTGTGACTGTCATAAGGGAAATTTTGTCCCTTTTAATAAACTAGGACGATCAGAGGTTGAGACCAGTCAGGTGAGATTCAGTCCAGTTCCTAGACTCTTACTAAGATCTCAGTTAATTTAACTGCTAAGGCGAGACCACCATCCTTAAAAATCCCAAAAGTTATTCCTTCGGGCTCTGCTGTTCCTCGTCACTTTATGTTAGTAACAGAACCAAAAATATGATCACTATCGATTCAATTCCTGTTTATATGATCATCAAGCAAAGTTATTTATGTAGTACATCACAACGGTATTAAAATTTTTGATAGGTTAGATATAACTGATACCATTAGTTGCTGTACTATGAGAAATGTAAATAATTAATCGAAATATGTCTCGGATTGTTTAAAAGTGAAGTAAGTTATAGATGAAAGCCCCAATTTCTTTTACTTTACTAAAGTAAAATTTGGTGAAATATATAAAACTCACACAATTGAAACGATTTGCAAAAATCAATGAGTGCATTATTCACTAAACAAACCAGTTTTCTATTCATTTAGTTGATATGTAGAATGATAGAGTAAGATTTGATTCCTTCATTACGAACTGGAATCAGCTGAAAAAGTTCATAGAAAGTAAAGCCAATCTTCATAGTCCCCAATAGTACACATTTATCTCACAGAAAATTGAATTTAGCTCTTGTGAAGCATATTATTCCATCAAATAGTTCATACGTTTCCAACCTTGATACGACCATAATGTAATCGTGATCTGCCAAAATCTATTGTTATTCTACTTTGAACGACCAGAAAAACTCAAAACATTTCCTAAATGCCTTAGGAAGCTATCGAACATTTACTAGTACAGAATACTTACTTGATGTCATTTCATTTCCATTAACCTTCCCCACCAAGGTTATAAACATTGAGTTTTGGCAAATTTATGAGATCAGTTAACGTTATGTAAATCTATGTATAATGTGAACAAATAGTACCATCGATATTTTTTGACATCGTGACAGAAACAAAACCTAAGTACTTACTAGTATAACTAACCTTAAGATGAATCCAATGAATTCTAGTAAGACATAATTATTAGAGTTCCATATGTGAATCAGGAGTGAGATAATTACTCAGCTGGTGAGTTTATTGATCAATAGCATGTCACAAACTGATTAGATTTTGATGATTGAATTCCAATTTGGTGTTCTGGATATATTTTATTCGCTGTAAAATCGAATTATTGGGTCTCATTAAAAGGTTACTTCTGACTATAGAACAATACTGAAAAATATATCACACTACTCAGTAACTACACATCTTCAAACCCTTTCATAATATCAAAGACGGTATAATAGCACAGCTGCATTAATCGGATTGTTTAAACTAAAAATCAAGTCAAACCTTAACATAATCTGTCGGCTTTATTGTCGTTCAACAACACTTAAGGCGCACTGGTGACCAACCAACCGAAAACTTATGTATTCTTCAATAATTTCAAATAATGCCACAAACTTGGAAGTGCCAGTACTGTTATCAAATAAACTGGACAAGAAATAAGGATCGAATGATTCAAATATCTTTATAAACGACTGAAAGGATAGATAAATGTTTATGAACAAAAAGCAGAAATAAATTAAACAAGAGTTATAGATGTTTTTAACAATTTACAGACTACATGTACCCAATTTTTTCCCAGACAAACTTAAATAAAACATAAATTAGATTTCTGGTTGCGGTTCTTCTTGGGCTAAAGACCGTATGACTTGGTCATCATGATACTGATTCATATATTCTTTTTTGATATTTTCTATATTCGACTCAAGATTCGGATCAGTAAAGAAATCTGAAGATGTAGCTTAAAATGAACCTTACCAACAAAATGTTCTCTAGCATCTTCAGGCTGTTTCGTTAAAATATCTCTACAAGACATCGCACAATGGAGGAATGCTTTTACCTCAGAAATGCAGTTATCATGTATTTTATTTCTGGATGTTTTCGTAAGTAATGCTCATTATTTACCCGAGTTTGGGCCTGTTAAGAAATATAGAACTAATTGACTCTAACTTTGAGCTTATTTGTCGCTTTCTGTTGAGCATTACTGAGGGCTCCTAAATCTCCTTCTCTAGGAAGATCATATGGCTCCATCCCGGCTGGTGGGTCATGGTTAGGACGGTAAGATCCAGGATCGAACATGACCTTGAAGACCAAATAGGCCGGTGATAAACTGCCTTACATACCATGACAATGGACAAACTTAGAATCGATTACAGTTTCAGTTTCGGTCTGAAAGCAACAGAAGGTGGGACCAGTTATATTACTCCTATAGCTACTGGTCACTCATCTGATCTAACTTTTTTTTTGAAAGAGTACACAGATGTAGCTTCAATAATGTCGTGAAGTGAAGAATTCCTCCTGTTGTTGATTTGATGGGAAGGTCGACAGTCAGATGACAAGTAATTTGTCCTGAGCTCGTAAACCTTTTTAGATCATGCTCGTAAATTTCGTTTCTTGAAAGACAACCGAAATGAGGGCATATCAGATTCGAATTCGTTACTGAGTAGTTTTAAAACTGTGTTCAAGTTACCGATACTGGAGTATAGGATGAAGTAATACTGTATTAGAACTACACATGTAAGTAAACAATTGTTTTCATTTAGATCGTCATCAGGCTTTACTCTAATATACATGAATATTTACAGGAAAATGTTAAACCGATGAGGGCAATTTTGGTCAATAATCACAATACTGTATGCAAAGTTAAAAAAGCTTCAGCATCGGCATAGCTAGATTCTGTACGTACTAGCCACAGAGTTTAAGAACCTTACGGCTCTTTGGGGAAGTTATTAAGTTTTGAACAACGATGACTCCTAGGTCAATGCGTGTCTGGATAACAGGTAGTTCAACGTGTATGTAACTGTACCCTGGTGATCAGTATGCAAAATAATGCAATTGGAAGCATTTATCAGCAACTGCCAGCTCAGATTAAACGCTTCTCTATATATCGATAGCCTCCCAAATAAATATTCTAACCCCTTCATTTCTAACTTTTGATTTGACTGTGTTGGTATACTTCGATAATAAAGCTTTTACGTGTAAAATATCCAAAATCTGAAAAACACGTTTCGTACGCTTAACTGGAGATTATTTACAGATCATTGACTGAAACATGTCGTGGATATTATCAATTATTATTTTGGATTCTGTTTTGATGCTTTGCCAACTAAACCATTTTTACACATTTTGATTGACTTACATTTCCACTTGTAAAGTAATTATAGAGGCCAAATGATGTAGTGTAAAAATGGAAAAATTCCATTGAAGTTCGAAGGCCAAATGGAAAAGTAAACCTGGAGATCAGATGCTTGAACTCAATGTGTACTCAGAAACCCCATTCTTACAAAAACTCTTCAAGTTTGTGGAAACTATTTAAAGAACTTGCAAGTTAGGGATACATTAAAACCGATTGAACCGGCTGAATGTTTGTGAATTAAATAAGTCTTTTATATGTCAGTCATCTAATGTCATGCTTCCTATATCCACATGTTTGAAGGATAGTTGTGTTCCGATTTCCACTGAAACCGATGTCCGAAAATGTTTCTAGTCAAGTAACTCGTCCCAATGTTTGGGACCTGAAGAAATTTCAAACCTTCTTTTTGAGAAGCATCTTGATATTCTGTGTTATCCATTCGCGAGCATCATTAACCAACCCTTTTCAACTAATCTCATGACGGAAATAAGAAAAAGACAAAGATAATCCCAATGAGAGTTCAAAATTCGGAACAATGTCAATAACTTCACCTTTTCTCCAAACGATAAGAAAACTAATGCTACTTTTACTCTAACCTGAAATATAAGTGCAGATATATCTATATCACTTTGGTTACAAACGTAAGATAAGTACCTTAGATGCTGCAGTTGTTCTGCACTATAATATATTGTTCAGCTTGGAAAAGAGTAAAAGGTAAGTTCGATGCGTTTCGCTAGATTATACTTTAACCCATAACTATTCCGAGACAACTTCTACTTGATAAGTTAGTCAGCGCCAACACCGACGGCTGGGTGTGTTCTAACCGCTCTGATATAGAACAGCACGTTTCACTTGGGGGAAAGTGTTTGACATTTCGATTAATCCAAGATGGTGTACCATAAGAAGCTTTTCTTTCCACTTTTGTTTCCTCGTTTTCTCTGCATGATCTGCCATCTTTCACAGTATACAGATGATCTCACTGTATATATGCTGATTTCTACCTCCTCACACAGTCGAAATTAATGAGATCTTGGTTCTCATTGAACGATTGTCTATCGTCAATGGTCTCACACTAGTTTATTCTAAATATCAACGTGTCAATTTCGGCCTAAGTTATGAAGAGCACTTAAACACTATGTTGGAATTTTACACTACTGAGGTTCTGTGATAAAAATGGTGTCTAACATTGTTTATCGCAGCGTAATCTTTTTCTCCGACTACTTATGGACTCATGTTCTACTGGTATCGAAAAAAGTTGCCCTTCTGACGTACTACGTGAAGAAGCTACATGTTTTTGCCATCACCCGACATTTACCTTTATGATTTGTAGATTCCTGCATATGAGCTATTATTCTTTAATGTCCCTCGTCACTCTTTCTCAGACTTTTCAAAAAAGACTTTGCCGTATTTCAGAGAGTGGTGAAGGCGGTTGGCGGAATGTGTAAGGAGTCTTTTGAGGTCATTATAAACATGGTTGAAAACACTACTATTTTAGTGAAAGACGTTTCATTTGGTTCTAGATAGTTTGTTTACTTGGTTCATATGCATGAGTATGCGGTTATCATTTTTATAATTCTTCGCTTTTGTTTATTTAAAAGAAACGTGGTGAAATGTTTTTGCCGAGAATTCTATATTATGATATTGAATAACAACATTAATAACAATTATAAATAATCAGCTCCTTGCGAATAATCTTTTCTAGAACTTTAATAACTACGTGTGCTAGGCTTACAAGTCGATAGTTTTATGGTCTATGTTTCGTGCCTGTTTTGAACGCAAGATTTACTGTAACGTTCTTCCAGTCTTTTGGTCATCTACCTTGAATTACACATAGGTTGAAATATGTGGTCAAATGGCTTGCAATAAAATTTGCTGTTTCTCTTAGTAACCTATATAATGTATTTTATTTGGTTCCATAGATTAACATATGTAAAGCTTGTGCAACAGATCAATGACACTGACTTTTTTCTAATGAGAAAAATTGGTTCAGTGATGATTTCTCTTTTCAGCGATATCATCTTCAGCCTTCCATTCCCAAATGGTTTATCTCTGTCCATATGATCCTACTGGTTAAATTTAATCTCAATTTCAACATTTTATCATATCAGGCTGAGCCATCCTTTCCCAATAATGATTTCTCGATCTATGTTTTAATGAATATTTAAGCTACAAACAATCACACGATTATTATTGTCCCTGTTTAAAATTTTATAATACCTTTGTCGCCATGTCTAACAGAATATTACTAACATTGTTACTGTAATTATCATCATCCTGAAAAGATAAGTATACATATTTGCAACTATACGGCTTTGAAAATAAATCTGCTGAAAAGAAGACTCTTCGCTGAAACAATCTTTCTTATTTTTTATAATATTTACATGTGCTGATTAGAAGTATTTGATTAATTATACGAAATAGGAGTCCCAGAAATAGCGTAATCTAAGTCGACAGAACTAGGTGAGCACAAACGAATGTATTGTATGTGGAATTTGAAATCAGACATCAAGTACGGAGGAATCATTAGTTCATACAAGAACCACATCACATTGTCCAGAATGTGAACTAGATGGATTTATGTAAATTGGAGTAGAAGGGTAATTTGGAAGTACTTACTTATTTACGCCTCTTACTCTTCATGGAGGAGCACAGGCCTCCTAACAGGAATCAACACACAACTCTGTTCTGGACAGTTCTTTCCGGTTCTTTACATCTTATATTCATCCTTTTCATATCTGCTTCCAATTCCCGACTCAATATGTTCTTTGGCCCTTCTATTTTTTGCATGCCTTCAGAATTCCAAGCCAGCGCTTGACTTGTAATGCAGCTTCATGATTTCCTAAATGTGTGTTTTATCCACCTCCAGCGTCTTTCCCTAATTTTATCCTCAACTGAAAACTAGTCAACATATTGAATTTATTTGGCTCTTCTGTGCTGAACTGTAAAATCATAGGCACTCAAATCGATACTACATCGTTGAACGTAACACCTGAGAAGCGTGCTAAAGATTTTTCAGGATGATAAATAAACTTTAAAGCCTCACGATCTGTAACAGTAGTGAATTTCTTTCGGAATAAATATTTATTAAGTCTTTTAACAGCCCAAAACACAGCTAATGCTTCTCGCCAAGTCTGTGAATAACCTTGTTCAGTGACAGTAAGTTTGCGTGAAACACAAATAACTGGTCTACCTTCCTGTTCCAAAACTGCGCCAATGCCCACAGGTGATGCATCAATGATAAGCACAGACTGTACACTAGGGGAGTAAGTTCGAGGAACAGCATCACTTTGAAAAAACTTCAGTAGACTACGTAAGCATGACTCTTGTTCCTCACCCCATTTAAATGAATTGAATGTCGAAATATTAAATAAACAATTGGCACGACAAGAAAAATTAGGAATAAAACGGGAATAGTATTGAAGAGCACCCACTAGTGAACGTAGTTCCGTAAGATTTTTCGGAGACAGTGCGTTTCTCAGTGGCACTAGTTGTTTCATATCTGGTCTAAAACCATTTCTATCAACTAGGTATCCAAGGCATTCGAAACTAAATACACAAAATGAACACTTATTTGGATTCACTATAATATTCCTCTCAATTAAACGACGCAATAAAGCAATAAGTCTCTGGTCATGAACTACCTTATCAGAACCATGAACAATGAGATCATCTTGATAAACTTCAACACCTTCAAGATCACTAACTACCTTATTCATAACTTCCTGAAATATGACTGGAAAACGACGTAGACCAAATGGAAGGAAATTGTATTTGAACAGACCAAAAAAAGTATTAATTATCGTCAAAACAGATGAGGATTGAGCTAAAGGGATTTGAAGATAAGCATCTTTTATGTCAACTTTTGAGAACACTTTAGAACCATGAAGTCGATTTAGAATATCTTTAGCCTCTACCGTCGTGCACGTTTGCTTAAACAAATGGGAGTTCAATGTTAATCTATAGTCACCACATATTCCAGGGGTCATGCCGTCCGACTTCAGGGGAGTAACAATATTAGTACCCCATACTGAAGACGTAATCGGTTCAATTATGCCTTTCGCACACAGATCGTTTAGTGTCTTATGTACTGCTTCTCGAAGACCATAGGGAATTATTCGTCTCTTAAGAAAGACTGGATCACCCTGTACTTGAAGTTTTATAGGCTGAATTTCCAAACATCCACAGCACTTAGCACACGTAGCTATCAAATCTTTAAGTAAAGCGTCAGAATTTTTTTAGAAACTAGGAAAGAGAGCTCCACTTTAAGCCTCTTAAAATTCCTTAAACCCAATATTAACAGTCCTGTTTCGCTAACTAAAAATTCACAAGGTATGTATGAAGGATTTGTAGAATTACGGTCTGCTATGGCATTAGCACTGCTCTAATAATAGATGTAATCCTAAAATTGCAGATTTGTTATGATGTAACTGCCTAATCTGTAAGATCTTACGTGGAAGTCACCTCATCATCTACACCAACTCACTGAGTCGTAACGATTACCAATACATGATAGAGACCAATCTTAGGCTAGAGATGGAACAATATATTTAATATGAATAAAAGATATAACGTAACATTTAGCAGGAACCACGCCTGCATGGCCGAGCCATGTGTTCAGTAATCCTCAAAATCGATACTTCAGTGGATCTTACCACAACGTTAGGAGTTGAAGATTTCAAGTTCTTGAATGAAACAATGCACTCTATACTGCTTGTGTCCACAACAAAGTCATGAAATGAACCAAGCGATGTATATAATCGCTTTTGAATATGAGCATTACCTTTGAAAATGGTAGAAAAACATAAATGATCATTCAGAACAGACAAATTATTGGGATCCAAATTACGAGATCAAGTACTACTTGAGGCAAAATGAACAGTAGCTTCGCATACTGACTGAATGTGTCTTATCTTACCACATTTAAAACATTTATTATTAGGAAATGCACATGAATCACGAGAATGAAATTTTCCATCTGATAAACATTTACCAAACTTGATCTCACCTTTGTGGTTTGCTTTGTAATTCCTTGTTGAAGCACCCTTCATATTTACACGAGAATAGGAATCACTGTTAAACGAACGCAAGTTTGATTGACCCTGAGATTGTATTTCATCATGAAGACTAAGCAAACTATCAGAAATCTTCATCGACTGGATATCAAATTCGTTCACTGCCACGTAGTTAATACACGCAGTTCTGGCATCTTGAAAGGGACAGTTCGGCATTGTTAACAGTTCTCTTTCCAAACCTGGCATGTTTATCCCCGCAATTAATCGATCTCTCAGTTGCACATTAAGTTAGTCACCGGAATTACATTTGGCAGCTTGTTTCTGCAATTCAAGGATGAATTCCCTAACCTTTTGGTCATTTTGACTGAAGATGCCGGGTATTCCGAGTTTGACAACGCTTTAACCAGTAACACCTTCTAATATGGAGCGCACCCACCAAGTAAAATCAAAAAACAGAAGCGAGGAAATCAAAGATATATTTGATAAGGTATCAATATATCGAGGATCGTATGCACTAATCTGGCTAGCGATTGCGGCAGATGTTGAGCACGGCGTTTCCACACGTGATCTGGTGCTGATGCTTGGCCGAGCGCCTTCAACTGGATGAATCCACTAAAACTGTGGTCAGCATCCAATGTCAAAAACTTAGAGAGCTATTTAATTTTGGGGACATATTTACCGCTACATGACAAATCATCTCACGAAATTTCGCCCTTTCACGGCGTTCAAAACTAATGCACTTTACATGATTTAATAATAGCTCCTTAAGAGTTGTATAGGGTAGTGAGATAGGTTTTTCTGGATATGCCAAAGTTTTTAATAAGCTGACCGCTTCTTTTCCGATGAATGTCAGAAAATATGCACGATTTTATCACCTTTAACATCTTTCTTGGTCATGCTCCAGATTTCAAACCTTTCCAAATAATCATCAAAAGCTTCAGAAGTTGAATGAAGATCTAACTGTTCCATCACAGGCTCCATCGCGACGCCAATATGATTATTAGGAGTATTTGAATTATAATATGAACTATGAAACTCAGAAATAACGCAATAGGGTCAAGAAGTACTAAATAAGCACTGTATTTGGAACTCGAAATCAAGCATTCAACAGGTACAAAGGAATCATTAGTTCATTCAAACACCACAGTTCTCCAAGCTTCAGCTGCGTACAGTAGAACTGTATAAACGTTCGTACTGAAATTTATCACTTTGATACTGGTTGACAGTTGTTTTGAGTTCCATATGTTCTTCAACTGCATGAGTGATTTCCTTGCCTTGCCAGTCCTCGCCAATACATTTTCATCCGATCCTCCAAGTTCATCGATGATGCTATCCAGATATTTGAATGTTTCCACATGTTCTAGAGCTTCTCCATCGAGTGTGAATAAATTGTTTTCAAATTGAGAATACCCGAGCTTTATTACAACAATCTTTTACAGCTGATGTTGTTCTATTATCTCCATAAAATGCCGGGACGATACCCTATCCTCCTTGTTATGTGGTTTATGTACAAAAATAAACGTTTTGTGTCTCCTGCAGACTACTGAGCAAGCTTTACTTTCTATAATGTTATAGACCGCCGGAGGGTTGAAAAACAAACATTTAGGGCCTCCGAACTCTGAGGTTTTGTCTCATCAATAGCCAGCAACATATATTAAACCCACATTCCTCTTCTCATAAGAAGAGGGCATGCTTCCTCACTAAACCACGATGGGTACTTCTACGGAATTCTTAGTATCTTAAGGAATGTGAGGTGCAATGGCTGTTATGTACAAATTTCTGAATAATGCTCAGTTCCTTTTAATGAATGATTCTGATTCCATCATTCAATTCATCTAAGATTTTGAGCACACAATTTGTGACCTAATCTGTCCCATGTGACGGAAAATTGTCTAAACAAAACCCATATTCCTTGTCACACAGAAGGATTAGCAGCCACATCATCACTGTTTTTAACTTACCTGTAGCGTTAAATAAATCTCCGAAATCAATAGCTCTGTTAGTCTTCGACGTTTAGTGCTGACCGCATCAGTTCTAATGGACTCACTTAGCTGGACGTTCTCGGTCACGGGCCCTCACCAGATCAGAAGTGGGTACTCGATGCTTCATATTTCCTACGACCTCTAGCAAGCTTAGGTTGATCAATTCCCAACATATCAATAACCTAACCAATATGTTTTCGAACCTCTTCGTTTCTGACTTTTAATTTGAGTGGGTTGGCACATTTTGACTATAAAGTCTGTTACTGGTTAAGGCGTTGTCTAACCCCAAATAGTAAATTTAGATCTTAAATATCGTCGTTCTGCTTATCTTCCAAAACTGGGTTTGCTGAGACATTTAGGAAAATTTCACATCCCCAGAATAAATTACTTGTCAGTTGATTACCGACTTTCATCAGTAGAACTCGTTACTTCAACATGTGGTTGGAACTCTATCTCCTGAAAAGTCCAAAGAAAATTTGGATTAACTGATCGACCAATATTACTAGTACTAATCAAGGCCATCCAGACTCCTGTCCCTTTCAAAATGTAACTGAAGGCCATTTTCAGAGTATCATAGAAAGAGTGTACAAGAAAGTTGTGTTTTCACTTGCACAAAATTTCATTGTCAGTTATCATAACTGCTAAAATTACTTGAGGTTATAAAAAATGGGAATAATATTAAAAATTACACACAAATTAAGTATAGATTAAGCTGCCATATAGAGTTACGTTCTTATTTGAAACATCAAGGTCGAATTGTGGTGAGGATATCTAGGACTGTTACGGAAGCGCTGGTTTAGAGTGATAATTATATTCTCAAGTTCGAGTGAGCCCTCTTAAATTTGTAAACAGTCATAATGTTGTTTGTGTTTTTGCTACTGAGATTACGTATTGTTTGTGAATATACAAATATGTTCCACTTCAATGTGGTACAAGTTTATGAATGAAATATATCATCTTCAGGGTTTATTGTGAAAAGACATTCAATTAAAGCCACCTGAGTAACAGGCCCGAAACAAATATGAAAAAGAAATATGGCAAAACCTGCCGACAGACAGCGCGGCAAATGTCGAAGTCAATTGATTACACTTGTATTATAAGTAGTTTTCTGATGGCTATTCACCGATATCTTATGATTGGCTGTAATAGTATGCTAATCAGTTTTAGTTTTGAACTTAAACTAAGGGATGTTAACAGTGTCCTACGTAATCTTAACTTTCCAAGAGTACAAAGACAATGTAAATATTTATAATGAAGATTTCTTGTCGTCTACCTAATTGCCCAGTTCTGTTTTTATTCATCTTTAATTGCCTTCAATATGATTCGTTGATTTCACTTTGTGTAAAATTTTTCTTGATCATTGATACCGTGTAGTCCTTTGAAATGACTGGAGTTGGCCTGATCAGTTCTTGGTCTGAGGTGGGTTATCTCATGGTAAACGATTAATTTGTTTCTGTTTTAGGTAGATAACTTCCAGAAAAGCAATAATGTCACTCAACTATTCGATGAGGATCCGGAGATGTTCGGTATTTTGCGAGTACACATGTTGCTTTTACACAATAAATTGTTTTTAGATGGATCAAGCCTCTTCCCCCATTTTTGTAGTCTTTGGAAAAATTCCCAAACAGCTTTATCTGAGATCCCTATTCAGTATGGTAATGCATGCCACAAGATTGCTCGTAGGCTGCCCAGTACGTTTACCAAAATGTCTCATCGTAAAGGGTAAAACAATCAAGTTTATATAATCGCCTTCCTACAAGATTGCCTAATGTTCGCAATATTACAGAAATGATTAATCTTGAAAGAAACACATGGAATCTTATTTCAAGTATTTACTTAGACCGTTTTGAGTCGGAATCTAGGACCGGGACGGTTGAAGGAAATGATTTATCTGTACGAATTTTATGTTTATGTGTTTCATGTTTACTTATGTATAGTCTAGTTTGTATATTTTTTCCTTTAGGGCTCTAAGAATTGTCGAGAGGTATTTAAATTTGCATGAACTTATCTGATTTTTTGGTCAATTTAAGTGTAATCGTACTTGCCGGTTACGGACGATGTGGTGTAGGACTGTTTATTAATGACAGTAACTTTAATTGTTGTTCATAGTGTTTCCGCTTGACTACGTGGGCACTTAACACTCAGTCGTTAGGTCACATATAAAAAACACTAATTTCAGTTTTACTTGGCGGTGACTGTCGCTTGACAAATTTGACTTTGGGCGTGATAGATGAACTAGTTACTATCTTCTCAACTAAAATTATGCAGATGATGTAATCCTGTTTGGTAAAAACGACAAAATAAGGTCTTCTGACCACTTTAAGTAATAATGCTAGCGTGTTTGGGATGCAATTCTTTCCCTCTAAGTGCAAAACTTTGTTTCAGAACTGGTCTGCGTCAACGCTTGAATTAATGATAGGGAGTGGAATAGTTGAATGTGTCAATCAATTCACTCATCTTAGAAGTCTGATTATCCCTAAGGGTTGGTGTCTGACATAATCTCAGCACGGATTCAGGAGGTTTAATTGACGTCTGCCAACTTGCATCGCTTATAGCTTAGGTCAGATGTACGTTTGTCAACTAAAGGGAGAGTTTACTGCTCAGCGGTTCTCTCCGTTATACTTTACGGTTGTGAAACGTGGCCATTAAAAATAGAAAATATTCATGGGCTACTAGTATTTGACCGTAGGTGTCTTGGAAGCATTGCTCGTGTATTTTGGGACCTTTTAATAAGCAATGCCTGGGTTAGTAATAAGGTACTAGATAAGGATGGCAAATCGAGTGATGAGGTAGTAAACCCTTATCTAATAGGGTGGTTAGGACATGTGCTACGAATGCCCAACCATTGTTTACCTTGACGGGCGATGTTGTCTGCTGTAGGAGTAGTTTGAAAGAAAGTCAAGAGCGACCAAACCATGACATTTCAACAGTTCATAGTGACACCGAATGTCAGACTAAGCCCTGTAGGTAGATGCAAACTATCTGGTTGGAGTCCATGTGATCATTGTAACCAGTCGTTAGAGACTTTGAATGACATAGCTTAAAATGGTTCACAATGATTTAGGTGCATCTATTCTTTGTCTCCACTTAGTTTCCAAGCTCCTAACTTCCCCTTCCCAGTTCCCATTTTTTCTCGAATCGTATCTTCGATGCATGATCTTTTTAAATGCTGTTGCAACCTTTGCTTCTTTGAGATTTGGTTAATCTGTGCTAAGGGATTGTGTGTATCTAGACTGATGCACCCATATGCCAGTTTCTATATTATGTTTAACCGACATCTTTTAGAGATTTTTTATTTTCAACTACGTTCTTGCAAGAACATGTCTGAAACACCTCATAAGTTACGCTAACATAGTGGAAAAGAAACGTGATTTATCGTTTGTTTAACCGTTTTTAAAGTTTATTAATCTTTGTCCAGAAAAGATATTCGATTTATTGAGATTACGAAGCGATCTAAATTAAACAAATAATGAAATTTGGGGACACTAGACGACTATTCCGTCGTAGTCTGGGGTTTTACCGGAGTGTTCGTCCACGACCTCGCAGTCAGGAATCGAGCATAGGACCTTTAGTCTTGCACGCGAACGCTTAACCTTTAGACCACTGAGCTGGCATCCAATAGTGTACGAGTCCATCTTTAGTCGGTCCATGATTTAGCCTATACATTGTTTGGGTTTCATAACCAGACTAATCATTTCTAGTTTTCATAAAGCAGTTTAGTGTTGATTTATTCCTTTTTCATCTGTTTTTTCTATTTTGAAATGCATATATCATCTGTTAGAATTTTAATCACTCCGAACGGGAAATAATTCGATTACTATACGAAAGAGATAACGAACTTCGTGAAGCTCAGGTTAGTAATTTATTTAAATTAATCTGTAATATATTGGTTAACTTCATATTTATGACGTTCATACACCATTTTTTTTATATTCTGGACCAGTCTTGGAATTTAGTGGGGAGAGAACAACGAGTATTAATCTAGTGGTAAATACTTCAACGTCTTGCTGACTAGAATCATTATTTTGATGTACAAAAATGTAGACAAGAGCGTTCTCATTATTTTCTTGCGATCAATAAGTCTTTATCGTTCACATAAGTGTTCGGTTTGCACGGTTAAGTTCGTCATTAGCATCGCAAAATTCGTTGTACATCCTTTTATTTTTTTTTATTATTTATTTTAACACATAGATATTGGTACAAGGAGGCACCGAATACATATGCGCCACACAGATCTCATTGGATATGTGTGAGGGCTGTGATACTGCCCTGGTGCCCAAATCGAAGCAGGTGGTTTTCTTAAGGGGCCACACCCCGAGCCTTCGACCTGAACGTCTGACCCACAAGGCAGTGGAGCATCGTAAGGAGATGCAGTCCCATGGTAGCTGGTGACCAACCACTGGTTCATACGCCATTTGTTCCCTCAGGATACTGGAGCCCATGTGCACCATTGATTTGGGATCCGGTCAAAGCGCCGGACATTGTACATCCTTATATTTAAAAATATCAGTTGGGCCATAAAAGCATCTCTAGTTGTTCTGATGCCAAAATCCTTAGAAATATCGGGAATGGTTAATGAAAAATAATCGTTTCCACTTGTAGTTATTTCTATTTGAGATTTAACCCTCTCGGGTTTATAGAACATACATTATCCATAATAAAGATCCAATTGATAAATTTTTGACTCATGTTAAATAGTTTGTCCACTGTCAAAATGCATTAATCTTGATATGTTGTCTGGCAAACTGAAGAGTTAATTTATCTTGCTTAAGAAGTACAGCCAATCAGTCCTTTCAAAGCATTAATCTATTTAGTACATGTCCAGTACTATAGAGGATTTTCCGGAGAAAATATTTCAGCAAAATCATTCTAATTTTCATTTAAATTTCAGAAATACAAGTAAATATACATATCACAAAGACTGAAAATCTTTTATAAGAAATTTGCACGAATGATTAATAGTGTCGTTTCTTCTATCACGAAAGTTTCCTGTTCTGCTTATAACCTTTTTCATTTCAAAATACGTTTCCTAAATTAGATATTGTAACGATTTAACATTTATGTTTAAAATTATTGGCTCCGATTTACTTCTGTCTTATTCCATGTCAACGAATGAACTAACATTACGGAGTGAATTAGTCCAGTGCATCGATTATTTGACTTATCTCGGAAGTCTCATCACCCTTGATGGATTGATATCTGACGAAATCTAGGTACAGGTCTAGAAAGCTCGCTAAGTTTTTGCCGAATTACATCGATCGTGATGTAAAGAGTATTCACGTCTGCCAACTGAAGGGTATCTACTGTGCAGCAGTCTGCTCTATATTGCTCTGTGGCTGTAAAGTCCATGGAAGTAAAAGACATGCGTAGGCCGCAGGTTTATTGTCATACATGTTTTAAAATCATTATTCGCGTAGCGTGAAAAAAATCGAGTGGACAATTTTTAATGTTAAGAATATGGTTTATGAAGTTGTGAGTCCTTATAGACTAATATGGTTGGAACATGGATTACATATACATAACCACTACCTGCCTCATTGCATGTTGTTATCTGGTGTAGTAGAAGAAAACTAGAAATGACTAAACCAAAATATGACGTCAGTTCATGAAGTCATTGATTATTGATTTTAGTTATGTAGGTAGATGCAAACCACCTGATCTTAGCAATACATTCATTTATCAGTCAGATGTGTTGGCTGACTTAGGTTACATCTAGTCATAATGGTGCAGATACATTTATTTTTTCCCCTAGATCTTGAGTTTCAGTTTCTTCATGCATGCACTCTCATTTTATCTTTTCGAACCATGTTCTCAATGTTTAGTCTTTGTCAATATTATTGCCGTTACATTATTTCTATTCACTTACTACTCATGTTAATTTTGACTCATCGTGCTAATGTTTGACAACTAGGGGTAAAACACTTTTGTGGCAGGCTTTATGTTGATTGTATCTGATTAGGTTTTCCAGATGATAAAAAAAGATGAAGTTTTGAATGTCATGGATGCTTTTTATTTGATAAAATTACATTTCCCGGTTGTTCATAAGATTTAAAATGACCATTTTCATGATGACGTCAAAATGGTACACCATTAACAGGACTAAAATCTCTCGAGTGTCTACTCAAACATGACTTTTCCTTTTCTCTAAGTCTAGGAAATATTGAGGAACAGTGTAGAAATATACATAATATGCAAGAATTTACAAATTGCAAAGTGAAAGTTAGGTGATATCAAAAACATTTAGCCTCTTTTTTTGACTGGTTAATCGGAAAATTTTATTTGATATTCGTGAAATTTGCGAAAACCGAGAGAGGTCGAAAGAAAAAACTTACATAAAGATAAATGGCTTCTGGTGTAGTTTTTACGACAGAATTGTCAGTGACAAGAGTCATAAAACGTCACTTTTAATGTGTTTAGTTGCTTTTCGTGTTTTAGGGCTAAAGTTAATATTTAAGTATTCAGAAAGTTTAACTGTAAGACTGGCCAATGTATGTTACGAACTTATTCATTTCAAAGTAATCATCAGAGGAAGAAACTGGCATGCATACGGTAAGATCATCAGTATAGCTATACGGAAAAAATGTTCAACTATGAGAAGACCTCATACTTGTTTTCCATTGGGAAGCTCAAATATAATGTGAAACTTAGAAATTGTTATACAATGCACTTAGGTTAACAACTTAACATTAGAAATATCTAGCTAGTCAATACTGATGACAAAGCTTATTTTCACCAAAAATGTGCTTGTTTAAATGAAGTTCATCCATAATACATTTGTTATAGTGTATATATGAGCCGCTCATCTGTTGATTAAAATGGTTATCTGAAGTGATATTCATTTGTTTCGAATGTCCGCATTATGTTTTTTCCATTATCTTTGTCAATCCCTGATTGTTGTTTCATGAAGTCATATCACTTTAATTTTCATTTTCATTATAGATATTAATTGATTGGTTAGAACAAATAGTTCGTGAGCAGATCGAAGAAGTTGCTGAGAAATATGAATGTTTATTCAATCAGACAACTGCTTGGTAATTTGTTTATTTTTTTTTTTTTACCTTTCTTTACTTTTATTCATGCAACTCACATTGTACCTGTTTATATACTCGGCTTTTCGGGGTGAGTGATACCATACCCAGCTGTTTGTACCAATTTAGGTGACGGAAGGATTTGGATTTACGAACTGTTAATTGAAAGTTGACTGTTGTAACCAATAATCTATTGTATTTTATTTGTATTCATATTTTAAACATCGATATTTCGTTTTGTTGTTAATGTAGTCTTTCAAATGTATTGGTTTAATGACATTAGAGTGATGGTATTTTGGCTTAATCTTCCTTCAACTATCCACTTTGACTGTAGTATGAATATTAGAATTTCTCCTATACTATCTGCCATCTTTTATCTAACATCTTATCCAAGAATTATGCTGATATCATGCAGCCATTTATTGATACATTTTTAGTCATTTTATTGTAATGCTTGGTGTTTGAGAGTTGATGCTGATACATGCTTTCTATGTACGACCTCGGTTATTTGAGAGAAAAGATGAAGATTAAGAAAGGAAGCTTATTTGGTTAAACCGAATCGTATGTACATGTATGTACTCATTTATATATATCCTTTAGGTGATTAAACATGTCAGTGGTTTATGTATCATCTATTAAAAATAAAAACCATCTCTTGGTCAACCACGTGCGTTGATCATTTGGCAATTTCTGATTGACCCACTGTACCAGACTTCTCGATGAATGTTATATCAACCAAACAAATGAAAATTTAAATGATCCAAATACTTCAGTCTTTGTCTATTGGTAGAAATGTCAATTATAAACTAACATCTTTGTTTTTCTGTAAGCAATGGGAGAAAAACATCTAGAACTTACATAGTAATCTGCATTAAAAGGTCAGCAACAGAATAGTAATGATTACAGTTTAAAAAATCAATATTATGAGATTGATTAAAGTGAAAAGCGAATTCTAACTAATTGACTCCACTATAATTTTCTCTTTATAGAACCTAAACTCTTGTAAGCTCTAATGGCTATTATTGGGAAATTTCAAAATGGGGAGAACTGGTTTATCTTTCACTATATCATTTACATATGAAGCTTTTGTCACAGAAACTTGTCAATTGAATTGTTTGCTGTAACTACTAAGAACACTTATTCAGTTATTCTTCATCTAATGATTGTAATTTATAACCTGTGTACTAACTATTATAGAGTCTATTGATTTGAGTCTCATCGGAAATATCAAGTCTTTTATACATTTTTCATACCCACCTTTTGAAGTATAAATTAATACAGTGACAGGTTATTTATCTATTTAAACACATAAACATTGGTACAATGAGGCACCAAATAGATATGCACCACATAAATCATTCAATTTGTGTGGGGGCTGTGCTACTGCTTGGGTACCCAGATTGAAGCAGGTGGTTTTCTTAGAGGGTCACACCCGGAGTCTTTGACCAAGAGGTCTAATCCACAAAGTAGTGGAGCAACTTTACGAGGTACAGTCCGATGTTAGTCGGTGACCAACGATTGGTTCATACGCCATTTATTCCTTCAGGCTATTGGAGCCCATGTGTACGATTGATTTGGAATCAGGGTTTTCCAACTAACTCCCTTAGGTGGACTCTCCGTGTCCACCAACTCGGTTAAAGCACCGAACATTTACTTTTGGTCCTCTGAATTTCTTAGACAACACCCTCGCCATGAGAAGGCAGTGGTTAGGACTTCTCTGGTAATGGTTGTATGCACGTGGCTATATTTTTATTATTAAAGTCCTTTATAATTAATATCTGGAAATCACACCAAATATTGCCGTTTAGTTAATAAGTTAATAAAATGTAATGTTACTTCAGGTTTGCATGTTCGACTACAATTCACATCTTTGTGTTCAGGCTAGTGATACTTTTTGTATTACTAAACTTATTTGGACTAATCCAAAATTCGAACAGTGATATCAATATTGTGGAATCACTAAATGGCAATTATTTTTGCGCTATTTAGATTGAATATTTAATGAATAAATTTTAGGAGGGGTTTTGTGTGGATAATATAGTAGTTTAATAGTTGAGATTATGAGTCAATTGAAGCTAGACTACCATGGAAAACCTAGAAGCACTGGACGGCCGTTTCGTTTTACTGTAGAACTCCTCAGCAATGCGCATCCATGATCCCACCTATCGAGATTCGAACTCAGGACTTATTAGTCTCGTGCGCGAGCGCTTAACCATTAGACCACTGAGCCAGCATCCAACAGCGTTAATGTTTAACTTCAACTAATCCAGCGATCTTTTCATACCTAATTAGTAATACAACTTCATTAATTTCTTATTTATGTTCTTATTTCACAGGGAGAATACGGCACATTTATTGAGTTATCTTTCACAAGCGGAGCTTACTAAACATCGTTTGGTAAAAGAATTGGTATGTGATTTTGTTTTAAAAGTAGTTTAGGAGCTTCCTAGAATTTTAATATTATTAGTATTATCATGTAAATAAATTCTGGCCTCTGTACTCCAATCATATTACCATATTCTCATTTTTCAATGTTTAAGCTTCATAAGGTTGAAGTGTGAAAGTTAAGAGCTCAGTTAACTGGTCAATATTGCGAATATTCATTATGTTATGATGCAGATTAACTGAAATTAAGAATATAGACTCAGTAGTAGTAGTTTAAAGGTATTTTTTCTCATCATGCGAGCTGTCAATCCTAAACTCAATCTTATACGTTTGTGATTATGGTTGTTCCTGTGGCAAGCCCTAACTTGGAATCCTGAAGGGAAGCGGAAAAGAGTAAGGCCAAAGAACACATTACGTCGGGAAATAGAAGCAGATATGAAAAAGATGAATAACAACTGGAAAGAGTTGGGAAGGATTGCCCAGGACAGGGTTAGTTGGAGGATGCTAGTGATCGGCCTATGATCCTTCACGAGGAGTAACAGACGTAAGTAAGTAAGTACCGTTGATAAAGTCTTCCACTAAAAACAAAAAGAAATCGATGTAACTAATATCAGTCCAACTCCAAGTGAAACAAATCTTCACAAGCTTATTTAATTAGATCAAATTGTCATTGTTTAGCTTTCTTTATTTGTAAACAAGTTCACTGGTTCACTTTAAATCTTTCGTACAAATCTATTCCCATTATGTGTATTAGCATCCGGATGCTGTAACCCTAACAGGCAATGAATTAGATCAAAAAGATCAAATCGATAATGATCGATTTATAAATTATTTATTCCTATGTCTTCGTGGTGGTGATCTTCATCGTGTAAGTGGATTACAAATTTGTTTTTTTTTTCATTTCTTCACATTACTATTATTTCCACTTGAATTTGTATAGGCTAAAAAGGTTTTTTCCTAGATACCTTTGAAGAATTGTTCATGTATAGTAAGTAGTGTTGAAGTTAAATTTAGGGTATTCTATAAAAATGCATGATGAATTGATGGAACTATGAGTGCTTATCGAATGAGGCAGCTGAAATATGTGTTACATACGGTCATGGGCATCAGCTCAAGTTTCTAAATCACATCAACATTAAGATATCTGAATAGTTTAATTATTAGGAATATTTCAGTCAGTCAGCTACAACGTAGGACAAGGCACATATATGCATTGATCCAAGTTGCCATACCGCATTAGCACAACAAGATGAACACCGGATTCATAGGAGTGGTTAATTCAGTGATAGTAATATATACAGGAAAGATTGCATATGAGGAGGTAGTACAGGAAGAAAGATTTAGTACGTAGGAAGAAAAATATGAAGCGATTTTAATCTCTTAGTTTAAGGGAAGATAGATAGTATATACATCTACGCCGTTGTGATCGATTTTGTGCCATGTCACCAAGAGTCTCCAACCATTGGTTACGATAGTCACGCGGATCCCAACCAGTTAGTCTGCTTCTACCAACATGGCTCAGACCAGAAGTTAGTGACTTTGTGGACTGATGCCACGTTTTGGTTTGGCCGCCCCTAATTAGGAATATTAGTGGTAGTAAGAAAGACCAAGCATAGAAAATATGATTCACGGAAAAAATCTGAATCCACGAAATAAAAATTCAAAAAATCAAGAAAGACGAATAGTAGATACACCTGCCCCAATGCGAACGATTCTAAGTCGTGTCATTTAGAGTCTATAATCATTGGTTACGGTAATTATGTGGAGGTCAACCAAATTGTCTGCATCTACGTTCACGGCCTAATCCAACTGTTAGTGATTTCATGGGATGGTGCCAAGTTTTTGTTTGACCGCTCCTGGCTTTCAGCCTACTCATACACAGGCTGTCATCGGACATCGTGGTGGTGGTTCGGAGTGCATTATGTGTCCCAACCACCTCAATCTATTAAGATTCATTACTTCACCAATCGACTTGAAATTCTTACCTAGTACTCTAGGTTTGTTGTCATTATTACTCACTAGGTGGTCGTCCCAACACATGCTTGAAATATTTCGAAGGTGTCCATGTACAAATAACTATATATTCATGATAAGATTTTCTACAAAATGAGTAGAATACTGATTAATCGATGACGCGAAATGATAAAGTATAGTCGAGTGTAACTACTATTCAATGATCATTCTTATTTCCTTCGAAATACCTCATATTTATAACAATACGTGTCCGATTTCTGCATATATTGTCCACAATATCTTTGAAAGCTATCAAAAGTTAGGTTCTTCAATTGGATTGTTCTTTCACCCTTTGTTATGATCGTGAGCACTGAAAATCTTCACAAAATTATTTTACCAATAACCATGTAGATATTAAAGTGACAATTTTATGCACAAGAGATTTCCCGATTGTAGTATTTTCAACAACACGGGAAACCAACTGTTGTTCTTATAGTCTTCTTAACCGCACTCCCACCCCGGAACTCTTGATTCATGCTTTAATACATTCCGTTTTCACTGAGTTATCTCAATAAACAGCTTTTAATACTTCGTGGACTTACTGAGTTTTTCTGAAGTTCTACAGACTTCTATAAGCTCAGTTTGCATACTTCAGATTGAAATTACAAAAAAATATTCTCTTCCAGTCAATCAATTCATTTGACTTCATTTATTATTATTTTTAAGGCTCAACTTCTTTGTACACAACGTGGTGAATTTTGGCGTGCTATTTCACTTGAAGGTTGGCGACCATTTCATTATTCTGGTTTTGTGGAAAGTGAATCAACTCAATTTCAAACATTAAAAGATACAGATGAAAATTTTACTCATTCAAAATCATTACAAATGAAATTTAATATTGAAGGGAATCCGATGAGAATTTTATACAAATCTGTATGTTGGTGGAATTCAGAGAATGTAAGCTCTTATTTGAATATTGACATTATTCATATCAACTGCTATAGCTCAAGTTCGTGGATTGGTTGAAGTTAAACATTAACACCGTTGGATACCGACTCAATGGTCTAGAGGTTAAGCGCTCGCGTGCGAAACTGATAGGTCTTGGGTTCGAATCTCGCGAGGTGGAATCGTAGATGCTCACTACTGAGGAGTCCCATACTAAGATGAAACGACCTTCCAGTGCTTCCAGATTTTCCATGGTGGTCTAGCTTTAATTGACTCATGAATTCAGCCATTAAAGATGATTTATTTTCCACTTTATATCCTATACATGTTAGTGTTAAAACCAACTTTATTTTGAAGAAAGTTTTCTTTGTCTCATATTGAAAGTCTTATTGATTTTTTTATTCATTCTTATTTACATATAGATAAAATTACGTTCATTTGAACGGGCTATTTATGCTACATTATCAGGAAATTTAAATGTGCTATCACAAATTTTACCAACTTCATGGACAGATCAAACATGGGCACATTGTCGTGCTTTAGTTGAAGCTCGTGTAGATTCTAGTCTACGTAGCCTATTGAATACTGGCCCTAGGGCTGATACACTGGTGAGTTAAAAAAAATTTTCTGTTTATGTTTTACGAGTATCTGTGCTAACAATGTGTCATATGACACTTCTGTATATCATAAACAATATCTGCTTATAAAAACCAGGTTGATTATTTCATCTTGAATTAATGTGTCTTGATTCGACGTGGTGGTCGGGCTTTCTTATCGTAATGTAACAATCAAGTTATACTGGCTGGAACAATCGTTCCTCAAGGTCCTACCATGTTAGACAGGTCGGTTGAAGAACGGTAAGACTAAAAGCAGCAAACCCAAGGTCTGAGGGTGGAGTCGTACTGTTGACTGTACAGAGGTGTGGCAACAGTAAGATGTTTCCTTCTGACAACGAACATAACAGCGGTGCTGCCTTCTCGCAAGGAGGGGTGGAGCTAGAAAAGATCAACCCTAAAAATGCACACCTCGCCTTATCCTATGGATATCCGTCTCCGGCAGTAAGGTCTCAAATTATTATGACATTGTTCTTAAATACTTCGTCCTAATTACTTCAACGACAGGATAGATTGTCCAGTAAGGTTTGTTTCGACCACGCAATATCATGAATCAAAATATGGAGTGGGAAAATGTCTATCTCACTGACTGGTGACTCGAAATGTTGACTTTTTTTCAGTCGATTCTTGACATTTCACTCCTTGTCTAGTACTCTTTAGCCAATGCACTTCACTCAACGCAAATCATTACAAGAATTGTTTTGAAATACGATGTGTTTAAACGAAACTAAACAAAAGAGATGTACAGTAATAAGAATACATTTTTACGTAGAGTTTCGATGAAAACTCCTAGTATCCTCTTGACTTTTCCATCAGCGTTGATTAGTTAAAAACAGATCAATCAGTATGCATGGAATTCCTGGGATTCTATCTTCCTATTATGTACAATTTTACCTAATAAGAAAATTCTTTCATTGTTTTAAATAATTTTATTCTAATTTAATTCTTAAAATATTAATTTGTTAGGCTGTTACCGGGAAAACATTTAAATACTGGCCTCTGGATGGAGGTTTAAGCTTGCCTGAATCAGCTTGGACACCAGGTGATTGGACATTATCCGATGTATTTGCACGTGTCGATGCACGTTTAGGTTGGTCTGCTATTGGATGTTTAGAAAAATGTAATAATCTACGCATGAGATCAGTATTGCGTTCTGCAATGAATGATTTCTTAATGGATGATACTTCATATTTGTACACAAATGATGATATTGGTGGCAGTGGTGTCGGTGGGAATGACATGGAATCACCTTCTGTATATGCTATTATTTATTGCATTTTCTATGCTGTACAACAGACTATCATGTTAAAGAATTATGATTGTAAGTTTTATTGAAGATGATACTTGGTTTTTTTTTATAAGTTTCATGTTGAATTCTTTAACTAGATACCGGTTTTGTTTTTGTATTTGTGTGTTGTTAGATTAGTGTTCCTTGTACAATTAACTTATATTACAGTCTGTTGGATATGAACACGTTCTTAATCGTTTAACTGTATTGATCGAAAGAATGTTGTTTATTATTGAGTTACAACCACTATCTCAAATTCGATATATTTTATAAAAGGTCTATTATGCAAACATTTTAGATGAAGTTATGTCATAACAGCGCTCATTTCTACAGGTCATCTGAGTAATACCGGTGACCAAAGTGGGTGCCCCCAAATGCCCTGGTACGGTCGAGAATGGGGAGAGTCCACTCTCCCTTTCCAAATGCTTTCACATGGTCATGCGTATATAACCTCTGCCAGGGAAGTCCTACTCACTGCCCTCTCACACCAGGGGTGTTGTTTACGAAAACGAGAGGACGAAAAGTGAATGTCCGGCGCTTTAACCGGACCCCAAACCAATGGTGCACATGGGCCGGCTCTAGTATTATGAAGGAACAAATGGCGTATGAACCAATCGTTGGTCACCGGCTACCATGAAACTGCATCTCCTTACGATGCTCCACTGCCTTGTGGGTTAGACCTTTAGGTCAAAGGCTCAGGGTGTGGCCCCCTAAGAAAACCACCTGCTTCGGTTTGGGCACCCGGGCAGTATCACAGCCCTCACACAAATCAATTGAGATCTGTGTGGCGCATATGTATTCGGTGCCTCCTTGTACCAATACCTATGTTTTAAAATAAATAAAAGTGGGTTTGTACACAATTTTGGACTTTGTGTGCATTTTTTGTTTAAAATTTAGACTTTCCAACTCTTCTTGGTAAGCTACCGTCTTGATTTAAATGTTAGACGTTTGCTTTTACCTTCATACTTTTTATGGTAACACCCTACCATATAAAGGTAGTAAGTTGTAGGACTTCCCTGAAAGAGTGTATAATATGCTCAGTAATTTTTAGAGCTTTCCGGGCAAGAACAAAATAGCAGACTCCTCACAATACATGACATTGGTCACTACTCATTTGGTTATTATTAAAAAAAAGTACCTGTTGCTTAATTTTATTGTCAGTGTCTAGCGCATTTGTTGATTTAAATACATTCTATTTTCAATTTTTACAGCTTTTCTCCTAACTTTAGCCAATCTTATGCCAAAACTTGTGTGTTATGGTTTAGGCGATGGTATTGTACCAGATGTAACTCCATTACAACCGCCAAATTTGAATAGAGTTGGTAATATTGATCAAGTAGTTTGTCACACACTTCGATTTCTGACTCATTTTGTCCTGTTTTTAAAATCAGCAGATTCTGATATACCGGTAATTAATATTTTTTTCAGAAATTTTTTGTTTGAACTTTGAGATTGTTTCTTTCGTACTAACGGCTAGTTCGGTAGCTCATTCCTTCTTCGGTTTGGGCACCCGGGCAGTATCACAGCCCTCACACAAATCAATTGAGATTCGTGTGGCGCATATGTATTTGGTGCCTCCGTGTACCAATAGCTATGTGTTAAAATAAATAAATAAAATATATAAAATCAGTAGCTCATTATATAATGGCTTGTTTTTCATCAGTTTGAAGCAAACAAACGGTTGAATCCCTGTTATCAGATCATGACAACAATGAAGTCACACGGTACCTTAATCTATTCAATAACAACCTTTTTTTATCGTTAGACGAAGTTGGTCGTCATATAACAGTCGTGGTTATGTCGTAATATTGGTTTACTGTTATGATTTATGCAAACCAGTTTCATGTTTGTTTCCACCTGCACAATTTTTAAGAGGTACTGAGACCATAAGCGTGGAAATTTTTTCTGTAGATTGCTGTTATTTATGACCTCACTTTGATGGGACTTTCTAACCTAACGGGATGTCAATAACTATTAATGGGGATCCAGTGGATTAGCACAGGTTGCGCCTTGGTACCTAGTACTAAACTGACGCTATGCAGACCAGACACGAATGCTACAAAGTTTCCGGACAGTTTCACCAGTAACAAATTTATCGAATTGACAGACGGAGAGCAAATTGGGTTTACTTCGGTAGATTCTTGAATACGGTTCTTTGATCACAAGACTTTCCAGAATACATAGTCAGAATTGTCTGTTGTATGATCTACATGAATTTGTGAACATTCAAAACGTCAAGTTTAAACGGTGCCTGTGGTTTTAGGAATGATATATCATATTTTGCATTGTATGACAGCACTCAATAAATCAACACTTCAATATCTTTAGGCCCTCTGTGAGGAGTATTGAATTTGAATTACTTTTTAGTTAGTTACTGAGTAAGCTGAAGTATGCTACACAGTTGAAATAAATTAGAATAGCAAGTCAAAGCTCTATAAAATAAATTCATTGATGACCGAATAATTGTAAATATCGTTTTTTTTTTTTTTTTTGAATAGAAAAGCGGAGTAAACCATTTTATTCATTAGTATTCATAACCTTATTTATATGTGGTGTGTAATATTGTTTAAAAGCGAAAATTGAAGAGGGTGGTTTTTATAGTAGATTACTGTCTAAGTTTTTGACCTAACAGTATAATTCATACGCTATTCGTCTCCTCAGGATCCTGGAGTCCATGAATATTGTCATTTCGGAATGCGGATTTCCCGAATTCTTTAGAAGAACTTGGTTTAAACATCATATGACTGGTATAACTTAAACATGACATAGCAATTTTTCATACCGACTAGGAAAAGTCCATTTTCGTTACGTTATGTCTACCTGTTTGTATATAACTGTTTGTTTTTTCAATGACGTTCGTCAAATAGAATCAGTCGCGTATGGTCACCAGAAATCTTATGGTATAACTCGTCTTTGGTAAATCTCAACGTCATATTGTGTTCCCGAATAAGGTGTCTAATCTTCATAGTCTTGACTAGCTACATGGAATGCTGTTACTCAACTCACTAATACAATATTTTCTGGTGAACCACGAGCTGGTTAGGAGTAAAAATTATTAGTTTGCTAATCAATTTACCGGCTACCCGATTTCTGAAACTTTTTACAATATCATAAGCTCTAACTAAGGCTATCGCTTAACTGATCTAGGAATTTAGCTTCAAATTAGTGTCCATTCCTTTAACATGCCATATTTCACAAATCTAGGTTTGGTCAATAAGGTTGTTTGGTTAACTGATACAATAGATCCCAAACTTTCATAACCTATTATACCAATTATGAAGCGGTTTCTTAGTTTGTTTATTTTATTTAAACACCTAGAAATTGACACAAGGAGGCACCGAATATACATGCGCCACATAAATCATTCGATTTGTGTGAGGACTGGGATACTGCCCGGACGTCCAAACCGTAGTAGGTAGTTTTCTTAGGGGGCCACACCCGGAATGTTTAACCTAATGATCTGACCCACAAGGCAGTGGAGCAACGTCAGGAGACGCAGTTTTATGGTATCCGGTGACCAACAATATGTTCATACGCCATTTTGTCCTTCACCTGCTTCGGTTTGGGCACCCGTGCAGTATCACAGCCCTCACACATATCTATTGAGATATGTGTGGCACGTATGTATTTGGTGCCTCCTTGTACCAATATCTATGTGCTAAAATAAATAAATAAAAATGTTCCTTCAGGATATTGGAGCCCATGTGCACGGTTGGTTTGGAATCAAGGTTTTCCAACTAACTCCCTTAGGTGGACTCTCGTGTCCACCAACCCGGTTAAAGCTCCAGGCATTCGCCTTTCTTCCTCTGAATTTCGTAGACGACACCCCCTACTACAAGAATTCAATGATTAGGACTACCGTTGCGGTGGTTTTATGCACGTGACCATGTAAGAACATTTGGAGAGAGTGAGAGCTGATTCTCTCCTTTCTCGGCCGTACCAAGGCATTTAGGGGCCTACCAGGGCATTTGAAGGGGGGGGTTCTTAGTAGTTAGAATTGTTCTACTTATTCACTCCCGTAACTTTGATATGTAAAGTCGGATGGTATCATTTATATAACTTGAAACTACTCATATTAGAATTACTACTACGTTCATAAATTATTTGATACATAAACTCAAGTATATATTCTTTGTTTTGTTAATTACATTTTACACAATACAATTCATTTGATTACTTGTTCACTATTCCATTTTTATCTCTTTTTTATTATAGGATGAACCATATTCAGAAATTATTAAAGCTTATTTATGCTTTTTAATTGTGAATAAAGAAACCGATTTAGTTGCATATTATGTTTCTGCATTACCTAATGAATCATTACAAATTCAATGGTATTCATGGTTTTTAACAGGTATTCAATTAGACCATCTTATGACGTAATAGTTTTATAAGATTAATGAGATAAACCATTCCCTCCCCCCCCCAATTTTTTTTGGCTTAATGGTAATGATAGGATTTAGAAAATACCATCACTTCTTCCCTTCCATTATCTCTTTACATTTTTATTGATAAATTGACACTATGAGTGAAGTTTATAATGCGTTATTCTCCATAGTTTTTTTGTTGTATTTTTTCATTTGAACACATAGATATTGGTACAAAGAGGCACCAAATATATATGCGCCACAAAAAGTTTGATTTGTGTGTGGGCTGTGATACTGCCCAGGTGCCCAAACTGAAACAGGTGGTTTTCTTAGGGGGCTACACCCCGAGCCTTTGACCTAAAGGTCTGACCCACAAGGCAGTGGAGCATCGTAAGGAGATGCAGTCCCATGGTAGCCGGTGACCAACAATTGGTTCATATGCCATTTGTTCCTTCAAGATACTGGAGCGCATGTGCACCATTGATTTGGGATCCGGTTAAAGCGCCGGACATTCGCTTTTCTTCCTCTCATTTTCGTAAACATCACCCTTGGTGTGAGAAGGCAGTGAATAGGACTTCTCTGACAGAGGCTATATACGCGTGGCCATGTGAGAGCGGACTCTCCCCACTCTCGGCCTTACCAGGGCTTTTGGGGGTAACTCTCATCAACACTACCCTACATGGAATTAAATTTAGGATGATTATATTTTAGACCACTAGGTTAAAATTCAATAATTCATATTTCTAGTTTTAATCAATTTGTAAAACTGAACGATTTGATACCATCTATAAGTTACTGTTTCATTTTACACTTGATAAACTTCAATGATCTTTGATACTGTTGAGAAATTCATTTCTCTGATTCAAAAACATTTATTATTATGATTATTAAACTGATATTCTATAGTTGCGAAAATAATTCAAACTGACTGTTAATATCCTAATGATTTAATGTCACATCTTGGTTTGATTAACCTTAACTTTCTTCTAACCAAGCTCTACTCTACCCAGTATTGACTGTCAAGGTAAGCGATGGTGAATAAGATACATAGCAGCATATATCTCAATCATTTCAACTGGTAAGGATTCTAAACCTTATCGACATTGTTCATTTAAATATTTCATCATTCATTTTAAGTTCTTAACCATTAAGGAATAAGAAATTATTACAGGTTATAACCCAGCTATTCCTATTGCTTAGTATTTCTTGGACACCAGTTCACTCGACAAATCCCCATATCAGAACATGGTTGAACAGGAAAGAGATTATATTCCAAAAAACAAGGGGTAGATGAAAGTAAGAAGCACAATAGGAAAAACGTTGGATAAGAATTAGCCAATCAGCGTTCACCAAAGCAATCGTACATTGAGCATGCTTTCATTCAATCTATGTCCCGCTAACAACAACAAGTTCCCTAGTTTTGAATAGATTTTCATTTTGATGGTATCAATCTCCTACTTTTTTTTACTTCATTCCTTTCATTTATAGAAATCAATAATCCAACTGAACGTGAACATTGTCTATCATTAGCTGTTGATTATGGTTTTAATTTATCTAAATTAACAAGATCAATCGTAAGATTATCCAAACAACGCATTGAATTATCATCTATCAATCCATATTCTTCTAATACATTGAATTATAATTCAATTATATCCAAACAAAATAACTATATTAAGCCATCATTTAATGAAATGGAATATTTCACAAAACTATTACATAATAATAATAGTAATAGTAATATTAGTAATAATAAACATGAAATTGGTAAATTAACTGATATAGATAAACAACGTATTATTGCAATGGATTGGTTATTTTATAATCCAGAACAACGTGGTGAAGCTTTATGCTTAGCAAATAGTTTATTAAGAGTTTTTATTGCAATGCATTCATTTAAAGCAGCTCAACAGGTATGTGTTTATAAGTTTAGTAATTTTATACTTGAATTCATGAATCGATTGAAGTTAGACTACTATAGGAAACTTTTGAAGCACTGGACGACCGTTTCATTCTATTGTGGGACTCGTTAGCAGTGCGCATCTACGATTCCTCTCTGCGACGAGATTCGAATTCAGGACTTATCAGTCTCACACGCGAGTGCTTAACCTCTAGACCATTGAGTCTAACTTTAATTAATCCACGAAATTAAGCCACTGTCCACTATTGTCTTCAGTGAGTTATTATCTCACAAGAAACCCGGTTGAACTCCACTGAGGAGTCCCGTACTAGAATGAAACGGCCATTCAATACATTCAGGTTTTCCATGGTGGTCTAGCTTCAATTGACTCATAAATTCAACTATAAAAAATTTTTCTTTTTTCTCCACTTGTCAAAGTTGCTTATCCCTTCGTGTTAGTAAAGTTTAATATCTTTTTTTTTGAGCGTATCTATTCTCCATAGCAGTAAAATGTTTCTGTTTGCACATAATATTGAGTTATTTTGATAGATTTGTATTCTCAGAGTTGAATGATTTAATCGTGAAGTTTTCACTGTCCATCTACACAACCTGATCAGTATAAGCTTCTATTTATTTATTTTAGCACATAGATATTGGTACAAAGAGGCAACAAATACATATGCGCCACACAAATCTCACTTGGTATGTGTGAGGGATGTGATACTGCCCGGGTGCCCAAACCGAAGCAGGTGCTTTTCTTAGGGGGCCACACCCTGAGCCTTTGACCTAAAGGTCTAACCCACAAGGCAGTGGAGCATCGTAAGGAGATGCAGTTTCATGGTAGCCGGTGACCAACGATTGGTTCGTACGCCATTTGTTCCTTCATAATACTGGAGCCCATGTGCACCATTGATTTGGGATCCGGTTAAAGCGCCGAACATTCACTTTTCGTCCTCTCATTTTCGTAAACAACACCCCTGGTGTGAGAGGGCAATGAGTAGGACTTCCCTGGCAGAGGTTATATACGCGTGACCATGTGAAAGCATTTGGAAAGGGAGAGTGGACTCTCTCCATTCTCGACCGTAACAGGGCATTTGGGGGCAGTATAAGCTTCAGTGAGAAGTGAACTATTTGGATTCTTCTCACATATGACTAATAACTTGTTCTGTTCATCTTCGATTAAGTTGACACTTTTCCTGTCACTGTTTTTGTAAATTTACTATGATATTTAAAATTTATGTTAATGATATAGTCTGAAAAGATAATAAAATCTTTGCGATTAAAACGCTCAGTTCATTAAATGCAACTCATTATCTTTTTTTGTTGTTGTTTGAGCTAAAAGTTTCCACCATCTCAAGATGTTAAGTCAGTTATGTTGGTGCTTGGATTAAAAAATTGATAAGTAGAATTTAGTCATCACTAAAGGTTTGACAGACATGTAAATGCTTGCTATTACTCAGTGATCAGTCACGAATCAAATATCATAGTGGTAGCATGCTTGACATCAGGTAGCCAATGTTCAAATTTCTGCATTAAGCATCAAATTCATATTCAGAATACAAGTACATCTAGGTGATGAATATCAACTGGAATAAAACCTGAGACATACAATGCTTCCTGTTAGATAAGTAAGAGTAATCAATAGAAAACTCTGTGCTACTTGACACCCTTTAGCAAGACGTACTAACAATTTTAAGATAACTGGTACTCTCTGTAGAATTTAAACTGAAATCATTCAGCTTCACAGTCTTCGAGTTTATCATTCTATTATTGGATCAGTGATTGATCTGTATTAGGACTGAGCTATTTCTAACTGATTGATCACAGATAATCGAATCATCCTGTCTATTACTGTAAACCGTCCAACATGCAATTGATATTCTGTTCTAAGAAAAACAGTCTTGATTGCGTGTAAAAAAACTAACTTTTATTCTATAGTGAACATAAAGATCATAGAAATACGAAAATTATCTATTTAAACTATTGTTTATGGATGGATTTTGATTTTAAATAATCACTCTAATGCACTAATTGATTGGAACAATAATAATTACATTACTTTTATGGATGGTGGCTAGCAGTGGAATGTAGGACGCGCGTTTCGTCTTACCTGGGGCTCATCAGCTTGGTGTATCTGTATCCCAGAGTTGATATTCACTCTGGGTCTCGAACATCAATGGAAAGATTCAAACAAATATTACAACAATGAAATGATAAATTACTTTTGTAGTATTGGCTTTATTTATGTATTCTCATATATATATCTCTTCGAAATCATTTACCATATTGTATCTATATAGAGAGAGTACATTTTTGTTGTTGTCTAGTATTAAAACAGAGAGGATATACTCATTAATTTTTTTTTTTTTTTTTGCTGTACTTATCTTAAGGTTCTATCAAAATTACCCGTTGGTACATTAGAACATGCGAAAATAATTTGTGACAAATTAGGTTCACCTGATTGGCTTGTGAATACAATACGTGAACATGAATGTCTTACTTTATATTTAGAAAGTCGGGTTAGTTTTATGCAAATATTATTGACATTTTTATATTCCATTTATCTTCTTTTAATTCATTTAATATAACTGTATACTATAAACAAACTACTTTGCACAAAAATAAATGTGACAAAGAGAGGAGGGGAGGGGTGAACAAAAGCAGTATATAATTAAATGTACAGTTCAAATAACAATACAATCGAAAGAGAACTCTTTCAGTTAAGGGAATTCCTCCCATTTCTGTAAAGAATTTTAAAGGAAACTACATCAGAATCAACATTGGTTTTTATTGTGATATCGTCTCAAACCACTGAGTTTCACAATCTATAGGAACCTAATCAGATTACTCATGAGACAGACAGATGACAGTCCTATATAGTGTCACGTCATAAACCGATCACCTTCCAGCGTCCAGTAAATGATGTTTGATGTTGAAATTTGTGAGATGATAATCCTAACACATGCAGGCCATCTAAGCCGAATGATCCACCTAATAACGTGGAAGGTCACAAGGAACGTCAACTCTTGAAGCACCATAAGTTACCAGGGTCAGATGGTTTACATTTGACCTGTTTTAAAGATGGTTTTGATCTTCTGGTTAAGGAACTGATCGAGTTGTCTACAAACGTCTGGTAATCAGAGAGTGTACCAACATCATGAAATGAGTCGATAGCTGTCTCTATCTTTAAAAAGATTCACATCGCCTGTGGAATAACTATCTACTAGCTATTGCGTCCAAATTATTGGCTTCTGTCTTACTCTGCAGATTGTTCAAAACCCGTGAAAGATTGAGTGGCGAGGGACAGATTGGATTTCATTCTGGTCAATGATGTGTTAATCATATCTTTGGCCCTCTTCCTCCCCGCCAAAAGTTAGAACTCTGTCATACTTATCAAAGGCCAACAATCGTAGTGTTTATTGACATCAGAGCCACCTTCGACTTGTTGGACTGGAATGTTCCTTGGGATTGTCTGTTGAAGAAGGGTGTACTTGAAAAGTTTGTCAACATCTTAAAAGTCATACATATAGACACCTCTGACGGAGTGAGGGAATACTACCACTTCTCTCAGTCGTTCCATTCAGGTAGTGAGGTTAATCAGGGTTTCCTAATATTGCCATACCTCCTCAACTTTGCTATCGATGGCATTCTGGAAACAGCTCTGATGGATGTAAGTAATGGTGGTGCGGATCTGTTGCCTGGAGGAAAGACTTCTCGACCTTGAGTATGTGGACGATATTGTCTTACTGTGTGATGATATCCAAGTCATGTAATCTGAACTTGATTAATTGGCAATTAGCATCCGGACCGCTTTTGGCACCTTCGTGCTATTAGTGTGGGTGATCAGATGATCAGATTTGTAATAGTTTGATGAAAACAGTTTTGCTCTACACTTGTGAGACCTGGCCACTCCGAGTTGAGAATGTTAAACGACTCACTTTGTTTGATTATCGTTGTTTCCGGTTGGTTGCTGACGTCCAGTGGCAACATCATGTTAGTAATGCAGAGGTTTAGCATTATGTGTTCGGGCACAACGACGATAATCCAATTAGTGTCACTATATTGAGACATCGACTTCGGTGGCTTGGACATGTTCTACAAATGTCGTCCCAGAGAATTCCACGTCGTGCATTATTTACCAACACTGGGACTGGTTGGAAAAAGCGGAGAGGTAGTCAGTGTATAACATGGTGTACAGGACTAGCTTCTGTTGGTCCTTCGCGATTCCTTGGCAGGGGTCCTAGAGATGGCTTAACACAGTGGCTAGATACGTTATAAGATATGGATCAGAATAGAAGTCAGTGCTAATTCTGCTGTAACTTTCTTTTACTTTCTTCATAAAAATGAACGTAACTTATTTAACTGGAATAATTCTTTCCGGTTGTATTTTTCCTAACTGAACTGTTTCTCCCATTACTATCATTATTTTATTGTTATTTCAATTTTATTTACTAATTTCTACTCATGTTTGTTCTTTTTTTAATTATACGATTCTTTCTTTACAATCTCGTTTTTATTACGTGGAGCATATATATTTAAGCTACCCATTTGCATCAATGTTTATATGGTTAACATCATGAGTCAGTTGAAACTAGACCACCATGGAAAACCTGGAAGCACTAGACGGCCATTTCATCCTATTGTGGGACTCCTCAGCAGTGCGTATCCACAACCCCGCCCTCTGCGAGATTCGAATCCAGGACCTATTGATTTCGCGCGCGAGCACTTAACCACTAGACCACTGAGCTGGTCGTCATCCAACGGTGTTAATGTCTAACTCGCTGCTGAGAAGTCCCATAATAGGACGAAACGGCCATCCAGTGCTTCCAGGTTTTCCATGGTGGTCTAGCTTCAACTGACTTATGATCTTAACCATTGAAATTACTACAATTTCCACAAAATCCTTTCTGATAACAATGTTTATATGTTCAAATAATAAATAATAACTACATGATTTCCGAATACAATTTATTTGTTCATTTATTTTTCACCTTTTCACTACTTTTGTTTACTAATTAAGGATGCATTTGCTGATTGGTATCAACAAGTACATACTAATCGACCTGTACAACCGTCTTCGTTAACAAATAATCATAATAATCTTATACATACAACATATGGTCCTCGTGGTTTAGCACAACGTCTTGCTATTGAAGAATCAAAAAAAGAGTATTTAGCTCGTCTTGAACGTTGGCGACATGATACACGTTTAGATACAGAGGTTGGTTATGAATTTATTGTTTGTTTGTTTTTGAATAATTGTTTTCATTTGTATTTATGTTTGTAAAGTATCGTTATGATTTTGTCTGTTCACGGGTAATTGGATAGATTCATCTAAAGTATGATTAAGTTACAATGGTTATTTCTTCACATTTCTATATTATTTATTGTATGAAATATGAATATAAATGAACGAGCGAAAATCAAGCTAAAATAGTGTAAGGGGTCAGTCAGTAACAACGTGGAACTTCGTACGTATATCAGTTCGAGTTGCCATACCACATTGGCACAGAGATTCAGTTATCGATTCAAATCCGGTAGTGGTAGAGGTAGTAAAAGTATAAGTAGTGATAGGGAACATTGGGGTGTGATGATGTTATTCAAGGAGTATAATCCAGTGAAATAAATTTGGAAGGAAAATAAGGGACATGAAGAATTCAGAAGATTATAATTTGGGAGAACACAAAGAGTGAATGCACTTGCAGTATTGCAAACAGTTTTGAGCCATGTCATTCAAGGTCTCTAACACCATCGGTTACTATCGTCTCACGGATCCCAACCAGGTAGTCTACACCTACCAACATGGCTCAGTCCACTTGTCAGTGACTTCATGGATTTGTGCCATGTTTTGGTCTAGCCGCCCATAGCTTTCTTCCAACCTACTCCTACATCATAAAACATCGCACATCGGGGCAGTCGGTGTTCGGACATGCGTAGCACATGTCCCAGCCATCTCAACTGATTAAGTTTCCCTACTTCATTAGTTGATTTTCCATCCTTACCTAGTACCCGTTTCCTAACAACTGCATTACTTACTCGGTGGTCCCAGGATATACGGTAAATGTTTCGAAGATATCTATGGTCGAATACTAGTAACCTACGAATATCCTCTACTCTTACTGGTCATGTTTCATCGCTATAAAGTAGGACGGAACGAACTGCTGCCCAGTAAACACGTCTTTTTCAATAGTACCTCAGCTTTGATCAATCTATGATAAGTATATAACCGCTGAATCAAACTGATCTTTACAAAACCCCCTTTAACTAAATTCTTTCTTTATTCTTTAGGCAGCAGCTGAAAAACTTTTGGCATTATTAACATATCCTCATCCTGGTTGGTTAGTTGATATAGAACAACAACAACAACTGAATGTGGATCCAAATGATCGATTAAAAGAAATTAATCATAATCATTATGATAAATTAATTGATCGTAAACTAGAAGATGATGATAATGAAGGTGAAATACATGAAAACAATTATGAAACATTAACTGTGAATAAAGATGATTTATTTGATGGACTTGGTGAAAATCCTACTTCACGTCAATTACAAATGAATGTGTTACGAGAGACATGTATTACAGAGACAGTATTTCTTATTGTTCGTTTATATCAAACTGCTGGATTACATCAAAAATGTATTGAATTATCTAATTTAATTGTAGATAATGAATATGGTTTATTCAAGGTAGGTAGGATTTCAAGCGTTTTTTTTCCTTTTTAAGGTTGTGATTAGTCATAAATGATGAACAGCAAACTAGAATTATAATTGTCTTCTTTAATTACTTATGCTTGTTACCTCTCGTGGTGGAGCATAAGTCGCCCACCAGGATTATCCATCGAACTCCGTCCTGGACAATCCAGTTTTTTCCAGTCTCTATTCATTCATTGATGGCTACTTTCAATTCCCGATGTAATATGTTCTTTGACCTTCCTCTTTTCCTTTTACGTCTAGGATTCCGAGTTAGAGTTTACCTCAAATGTAACTTATAGGTTTACTGCCGGTCCCAAACCCGGTTAAAGGGGGAGGATTAAGCATGGGGTCAGCAAACCTATCCCATAGAAAACAACCTTTCTATAACGACACTAACAAATAGTCTTCCTGCTACTATCAATTCATGATGCGAACTAATTTTGTTTGAAAAAAAGAATCAGTTAATTTACTGGACATTAGTATCTTTTAGTTTGACACTACTTTCATTTTTATTACACGTCAGTGAAATAACTGAGGGGAAGTGATCAAATTGATAATGCTGCTCACTGGATGGATTCATTTATTTGAGCTTCATAGATTTTTGAACATTTTTTCTTCTTCAACAACAAGTTGAGTATATAAATCTGTCCATCATTTGTAAATAATAAACTACATGACATAAATATGTCTTGGTCAAAGTTACCACATCCGAAATCTAATACTGATACACGACCGTTGTTGCTACCTTGACGTGGTGGTCGGGCTTGCCTATCGTGATGAAGCGACTGAGCTATACTGGCTGGAACAACCGTTCCTCAAGGTTCTACCATGCCAGACAGGTCGGTTGAAGAGCTGTAAGACTAAAAGCAACAAAACCATGGTCCGAAGGTGAAGTCGTACTGCTGTCTGTACAGAGGTGTGACAGCAGTAAGGTGTTCCCTTCAGACAACCAGCATAACAGCGATGTTGCCTTCCCACAAGGAGGGGTGGAGCTAGAAAAGTTCAACCCTAAAAATGCACACCTCGCCTTATCCTATGGATATCAGTCGCCGGCGGTAAGGTGTCAACAATTATGGAGCTAACACAAAAACTACTCATAAAAAGGTCGTGTGTGACCGACATCAAGCACCTGTCCCTTGAGCACTGTGGTCACTCTCTCAGGTCACTAAGACCACCTCTAATCCAATTTTTATTTCAGGTGCCTCCAGAAGAACCCTTCCACGGTGTGGGCAACCGGGAAGTGATAACCGCCCTCATACCTCTAACAGCACTGAAGACCACTGTATTCATAATCAACCACCCTCTTCAATTCCTATTATTCCTCCTACATCAAATGAATGAGATTCATGCATGATTAGTTAAAAATGATACTTAACTCAAGATTTTTCAGGATGACAGGAATTATAGCTTTATACTTACTTCTACTCATTGTGTAATAGGATATTCTTTTTTTTTTGTATTAGGACACATTATTTCAATTATGATCTTTTATATTAAAGATACTTTTATTCTGTTATGTTTTATTCTTTCTCTCCGTCTTTTCTCATATATCTAGTTGTTCTCTGGACCTCAGCTTCAAAATCTTCTACATCATATCTCTGAATCAATTCAATATTTAATTGATAATGAACAAGATCCATTGGGTTATATTGTACATTAGTCATATGTATATGCTTCTATCTAATGTCAAATAAATAAATGAAACAAAATCTAGCGAACAAAAATCGTTTATCTCTTGTCTATACAAATTGATAGAAATGTTCTTGTATCCATATTTATGTTTTTCTATGTATAAAAGTCGTATAGAGATAGTTTTTATGTATGTGTATAAATTGTTAATTCTTATTGAAATAAATAATTTGTTTATTATATGAATCTACTCTTTTCCCTGTTATCCCCTCCCCCCACCTAACCACTTATAACACTAAAATGTTTTCCATTATGTTTTCTATGTTTTAGTGTAGTTTAACGGAGGTAACCAATGCTGGTTGGTAAGTGATTTTCATAGCTATTCGGTTATTGTTATAACTTGCTAATCCATTAGAGTTTCTCCTCGTGGGTTTGAATCCCATCCAATTGTTATAACTTGTGGGCTGTCTGCCTTGGTAATGGATAAGTAATGATACCGCCAATTAGGGAGCAATGACTTATCGATTGGATCAAGGACGCGTAAAACACGTGCGAGTAGCGTAGAGTCCTGCTTCCCACCTAGCCCAGCCAGTTGAGTCCAGAACACCAATCTCAACGTCTGCAATATGAATCATTTATTTCAAGCATATTGGATTTATATACCAATCAAACAGACCATAACGTACCATAATATAGAAAATAACATTCATACAAGGTTTGGCCAAATGTGACTGTGAATGTGGAAGATAGTGATTGATAGACAGGGTATAACTCAAGAATGGTAAATCGTATAATAATAGTTCATAGGTCAAAATAAAGCTCATAATAAGAGGCACATGAATATGTATAGTTTAGCGACATAACAATTATGCGATAAAAATATACGCATAGTACTAATCCATAAATGAATCCCAAAAGTTACCATTCATTATGCTTATCGGGACCTAACAGTTATGAAATTATTCTGATATTTTTATATATCAATTTGTTGATGATAATGGTGTATTATGTCCTGATCTCGAAAAGTAATCTCATACTCTTCAGTAATGTTGTAATTGAAGGTGACTAGACTATGGTCATAAGCACAATATTTATATTCTCAGGGAATATACATAGTATCAGAAGGGGTTTTGTGGAGATTGTAGTAATTTCATTGATTAAGATCATGAGTCAGTTGAAGCTAGACCACCATGGACGGCCGTCCAGTGCTTCCAGGTTTTCCATGGTGGTCTAGCTTCAACTGACTCATGATCTTAATCAATGAAATATACATAGTGTTTAGTTCACTGTCGACCTTGACGTGTGATGTTTATTGGTATACATTGTTCTTGATTAGTAGGTCAAGAATTCTAATATAATCCTTAGTGTTAAGGTAGACTACCTTATGAGAAACTTGTAAGGTATTACACAGTGAAATTCTTCATATGTTGAAACCAGTGATACACTGTTATCAAGCATTCGTAAAGAATATGGAGATGGGATACTGGCGTGTTTCCAATCTCTTTCATGTGTGAAATAAGTATACAAAATATGCACAATGTTTGCTGGGTTTTATTTGTTGGTAGACATTTTAAAATCATTTATTTAACCCATATAGTACCTTGGAACTCATGTGAAACGATTTTAAAGAAAAATAGTATTCATTAAAAGATTTAGTTTACTCATAACTTTGAATCACTACTTATTCCTGAAGCAGTTATAGAGTTGATGAAGTCAAATAATGCACCAGTTTAATAAATCGAAATTGCAAATGTGAATTATGTTAAAGAGCAAGTCAGCGGTTTACACTTGTAAAGTTCAACATGATACCTAAAGGCGCTAAGATTAATCTTTATCTCAGGATCGTGGACTCACACTCCGAACGAGTTCCAACTGGGAACGCGATACAGATCCAATATTCTGTGGTTTACAACAACTGTCCAATTAAAATCAGTCTATAATGAGATCCAACAATGTCGGATTATCAGTATTACTTGTGAATGTGTACCGAGGAGCATTCAAATGAATATGGGACATCAGTTGATGAAGACACTAACTGTTAGTTTACGCAATATTGGTAGATGATACAAACTACCTGCTTGGATTTTGCATAATTATTTTAACCAGTGGTTGAAGACGCTAGGTGACATAGCTCAGAATTGATCACAATCGTCATCTCGCGCAACCCTTCATATGGTACTAGAAGATAAAATAAAAATGCATACATGAAGGATTACTAGACTTAAAAATCTTGAGGGTAGATAAAGAATTAAAGGTTCTAAGCAATTATGAACAAGTCCTAAACCATATTATACAATATCTCCGGTAATTGGTTAAATTTATCTTCCAGATCTCATCTAGTTAATCTTTAATTGCAAGTACATTTCAGTCAAACAGTTGATTAATTTAGTTCCCTTGTAATCCTCATATTAACATGAATCCTTTATCAAATGTCATAGATCCAATTGAAACGATTACCCATGAGACTATGTTCAGTTAGTTTGTTACAATAAGACGATCACATTTTATAATCGTAACGTAAAGATTATTACTATACTAAATTATAACATGGATCAAACTAATCTAATCACTGATCAGTAGTATATGTTCATCTACAATCTATCATGAATAATCGAGATTATTTTTTTATTGTTTTATCTCTTGCTTACAGGAGTTTGTCACAAAAAACATTTACAGAATATTTAAAGAAAACAGAACATGAAAATTATGATGAGTTGATTACTCTATTATTGAATGTAAGTTTTAAAAACAACATTATTGAACAGTAAATAGATTTTAATCAGTAGTAGTTCACCAATATTTACTCCATTATGTTTGTTACCCTACCCCCTCCACCCTGCATTAAGCATAGGTCACCGACCAAGCAAAATGCAAACGTAGTAGTAATATTTACTACTTACCTTAGTCATATTCCATTCCCGTATTAAATTGTTAACAGTCCCACCGAGTACTAAAATATTACTTTCAATGGTTTGAATAATTTTTTGTGGTTAGCATTTTTTTAGCGAGTTAATTTTTCAACGGTATTGGCTCGCTAACCCCATGCCCAACCCTCCTCCTTTATCCGGGCATGAGATCGGCATTAGCCCCCGGAGGGACTCCAGGCAGAGCTAGTACTACAATATGCTTTTTAAATAATAATAATAAAAACCCCATTACTAATGGAATTGAACCAATTAGACGAAAATTTTGTTCCAGGTGAAATATCCATACTGAAATTGAAACATTCATTAATGAATGATAAGTTTTCTTTTACAAAAAAAACCAAACAAAACATCGAGCGTTATTACATTCGACTAAGAACTACTACTCACAAATGCTTCAAGTAGTAGTAGAAACTACAGCTGGATTTAAAAATAATAGTAATGATACTAAATAGAATGGTGTACCAAGAGTTCGACAGTATTATAACAAAAGTAAACCAACTACAGTTGGATAGTTCCAATCTACAACAAAAAAACAACTTGAAATAGATCAATCAATCAATGCACTGATCAAGACGAATTCAAGCGATTTCTATTGAATGCTTTCTACAATCAACTAACCAAGAACATACTTGAAAGATTGATCATGAAAGAAATTAGACTCAGAATACACATATAATATCATATTACAAATCATGATGTTTATCTTTATATTTAAATCAATAAGCAAGGCATAGTGATACGTAATTAGCTTTCAGTTACGATTTTGATAGGTAAATACAAATGATATTATAACAGTGAAACACAATTCTAATCTGTGATCTTTCATTTGACAACGTTGAATGGATAACAATAATGTTGGAAATTCTACTGGAAATACGTCATTAAAACTTACGTTATGATAGCTTACAAAAAACCAGTTGACTGGAATCTCAAGAGATAGAGTAATCTAACAGCTTAGCAAAAAACGTGTTTAACAGCTTATGTACTATTGTGCTTGTTCACATTTAATTCGGTTAAATCATTTTATTAACCTAGTAACGAACTGAGTGATCCGTACAACAACTTATCTATATCATTGTATCTTTATTACTGTTGCGAGTGTATGAACGTGTATGCTCGGCAAACCTTATTGCCAATGCATTTATTCACGCTACTAGCTTTACTATTAACCACTTAACTGATTCGATGATTCATTCATTTCGCTATGTAAATATATGTCCATGTTATTCATATTCATTACTCGCTCGCTCGCTCTTTCCCTTGCTCTCTCTCTCTCTCGCTCGTTCGCTTGCCTGTTTGCCTTTCGGCACAACTATTTCATGCTTGCTTAACGCATCTGTAATTTTGGATATCTGTGTGTGGTCCCATAATAAACGTAATTAACACTTTGTATTCGCCTTCTGATTAATATACCGTTGAAGCGTTATTTGGTGACAGTTACCGAGACGAACTGTACACGGAGTTGTGGTGGTCGGTGTTCGATAAATTCTATAATAGTTCATTAGTTCCAAGAATCGTTGTAATTTTTTTGTGACTCAGGCAACGGATAATTACGAATAGCAGCGACTTCTGTCGGAACTGGCATGATACCATGTGAATTTATCATAAGACCTAGGAATTGCGATGATTCCTTTCCGAACTCACACTTCTCCACGTTAATAGTGACGCCGTGTTCTCGAAGTTTCATAAACAACTGTCGTAGATGTTGTAGATGTTCCTCCACGGTAGCGCTAGCTACTAGTATATCATCAATATATGCATATACTCCTGTCAAACCCCTGACAACCTGATCGATGAATCTCTGGAACGTTTGAGCTGCGTTGGTTAATCCGAAGGGCATTCGCAAAAACTCAAATAACCCAAATGGAGTGATTACAGCCGTTTTAGGTATATCTTCTGCCGCCACGGGAATATGGTAATAAGCCCGAACAAGATCAAATTTTGAAAATATCGTGGCACCTCCCATATCGGTAGTAATGTCGTGGATATGCGGTACCGGATATCTGTCTGCTATAGTTTGCTTATTGAGGGCTCTATAGTCTCCGCATGGCCTGATTTCTCCGTTTTTCTTGGGAATCAGTGTGCTCATTTAGAAGCGCTCTATATGGCTCGCTTTTGTCTTTTGACACTACTAAATTCATAGGTACGTAATCGGTTGTCACTCCTCTTATCACTACTGAATGGTCTCCGTTCACGAGCCGGTTTTGTTGGGTATCCACTAGTAAGTCGAAATTCTTTAAGAAATCAATGCCAATTACAGGTACGGATACATCTGCGATAACGAATTCCCAGCGGAATGAAGTACTGCGACCAAAATTCAAGGTTACTTTACGCTTGCCATATGTTTTTATATCGGATTTATTTGCTGCCTTAAGCGTTAGCGTTGTGTTAATATTTTGTGTTTCGTTACTCACTGGAGGCACGACGCTTACTTCTGCTCCAGTGTCCACTAAGAACTGAGCGCCTGTTACTCTGTCCTGAATGTAAAATAAACGAATGTTTCTAGGAGCTGTTCTAGTTGTCGTGGCGTTTACCGACAATCGGTGTGATCGTTTGAATCTACATGGTGGTCGACAGTTTCGAGCTTTGTCGCCAAAAGTTTGATGGTACCAATATATTGTAAGAGCTGAGCGTCTCCTAGAACGTGATCGACTTCTATCTTTCGATCTACTTCGCGACCATTTTCTTTGTATATCGCTTTGATTTAGTTTCGTCAGCTTGTGGCATAAAACGCTAACCTCCTTTTGCAAATGCGTCGATTCGTTCATCTACTGTGGTATTATGTCTTTGCGGACTCGTTTGTTTCATTCTCTCGTAAATCCTATCGGCTATATTAGCAATGTTGTCTATGTCGACATCGCTGTCGTCAACCGCGAGGATCTGCTGAATGTTCGGTGGGAGTCGTCGTAGCCACAACTGATAAAATATGTTTTTATCTACTTTTCTGTCTCCGATTATGCTTCTCATATAATTTTTTAGCTGCGACGGAGTCCTATCTCCAATCTGCACTTGACTGAGAAGCTGCTCGACAGCTTGTCTGTCACTTAGTGAAACGGCTTTAATCACAGCCTGTTTAAGTGCGTCGTATGGCTTTTCGATGTCTGGCTTAGTTAAAACCTCTCATACATTGTCGGCTACTTCATCCGGAAGTAGTGAGCTAGCATGGCTGAATTTATCTCGCTGTAAATGAACACGATTAGCAACAAAGTAATGTTCAAGTCTAATAAACCAGAGTTCGAGATCTGTGATCTTAAAAGGAGGAATAGTTACATTCATGAACCTCACGGACGAAATTTGTGGAAGGTCTATTGTGTCGTTATTTAAAGACATGATTATAAAGATCAAAAAGTATACGTACATAGTGTGAATGTCACGGAGAGAAGTAAATCGATAAAAACAATGATAATGAAAAAAAATAGTACAATTAATAACAAGGAACGGACTTACTAAATTGCACCAAAATATCAATTGTTTGTAAAATATCGTTGTTTATTATGAATATTATCGTTATGTTCAATAATGTTTGTGAGATAATGTACGTATAATTAAAATGCTGACATAATAAATCCACAGTAATGATTATAATCCAAATGCTAGCTCGAATTGAAATAGAGTGCGTTGGATTTTCGGAGTTGGATTACGTCGTCGAAGATTGTTTCTTGCTCGCACGTTGGGATCACCAATTCTGTGGTGGTCGGTGTTCGATATATTCCTTAAACTCCGTGTACAGTTCGGCTCGGTAACCGTCACCAAATAACGTTCCAACGGCGAATACGAAGTGTTAATTACGTTTATTATGGGACCACACACAGATATCCAAAATTACAGATGCGTTAAGCAAGCATGAAATAGTTGTGCCGAAAGGCAAACAGGCAAGCGAACGAGCGAGAGAGAGAGAGAGCAAGGGAAAGAGCGAGCGAGCGAGTAATGAATATGAATAACATGGACATATATTTACATAGCGAAATGAATGAATCATCGAATCAGTTAAGTGGTTAATAGTAAAGCTAGTAGCGTGAATAAATGCATTGGCAATAAGGTTTGCCGAGCATACACGTTCATACACTCGCAACAGTAATAAAGATACAATGATATAGATAAGTTGTTGTACGGATCACTCAGTTCGTTACTAGGTTAATAAAATGATTTAACCGAATTAAATGTGAACAAGCACAATAGTACATGAGGTGTTATAGAGTTTAAGGAATATATCGAACAACGACCACCACTCGTCCTATGAATCGTTTGGTTGGCAAGATCACTTTTCACAAATAAACGCTCACAGTGTATGCAACCCGTTCTTATCATCTCCAACCATGTTTTCCCGTCAAACACAACTAAACTCCCGAGACTACATTCATTTAGAATACTGTAAAAGATGCACTTTTTAAAATTTATTTCCGCACATTTAATACATTATTTATTTGATGACAACTCAGACGACAATTTGAATATACTTTTGCGTGGTAGATGGTAGTCTCGTGACCAAGTCCCAGTTGTAACACGTAGTACTGTGAAGTTATATGACACTGGTCCGAAGCCCACAGGGAGTATTGATTTCCACAAGATTATAAGTATGCCTTGCTGAAGAATCTATACTATCACGAAAATTATACAACCAGTACAGATTGCTCCCAAATACCTTAGTACGGCCGAGAGTGTGGAGAGTCCGCTCTCCCTCTCAGAATGCTCTCACATAGCCACGCAAATATAGCCTCTGACAGGGTAGTCTTACTCACTGTTTTCTCATGGCGGGGGTGCTGTTTACGAAATTCAGAAGACGAAAAGCAAATGTTCGGCGCTTGAACCGGGTATGTGGACACGGAGAGACCAAAAACCATAGGGAGTATTAATTTCCACAAGATTAAATGTACGCCTCCGATCTGGTCAGCTTCTGATGTACTTGTTTGGTTTTGTTATATCCTTTTATTTGTTAATATAAATATATGTGTGTGTGTAAAATAGAAAGTGGTTTTTTTATCGATGCATTCTACTCACTGTTTTTTTATTTCTTATTGCTTTTTGTTTTTTCTTCTCTATGTAATGATACTTTAAATTCCTGTTCAAACCTAAAGTCGGATATTCGTGAATATGGTTCACCATGGCTAGGAGATTTGAAAAAGGCTAGTCATGTAAGAATTATGGTTGTTTATTATCGTTGTTATTTCGTAGTCGAATTTTCTTAAAGAATGATTGTTTCGTTCAATAATTTATTTTTGATAACAATGAGATATTATAAGGACTAAATCTATACGTATGTTCTTTTGTTAGATAGACTTGATGGGATATGCCTACCAGTGGAATCCGGGACGCACGTTTCGTCCTAATTTTTTACTCATCAGCTTGGTGTACCTGAATGTTCACTCAGGGACTCGAATATAGTATCGTTTTCTTCAGACGCCATCATGTTTTTCACTTAGTTGCTGAGTCCAAATATCCACTCTTTTGTGCAGTTTGATCAGTCTTAGTTAGCATATGGGCATTCTGTACGGATTGTGTCTATGTAGTCATTATGATACAAGTTGACATTAGATGTTTAAACTGTCGCTCAGTGCTACCAAAAGACTATGCATCTTATCACTGTCTTCACTAAACAGGACTCTATCATCTGCGTATTCTAAGTCGATAGGTGGATCTCCTGGACGGAGATCAATTCTTGAAATTCCACTCGACGAAGACGTTATTTCCAGTAGTAGGTCTGTGATTAAGTTGAACAAAAATGGAGATAGTGGAAAGCCTTGACGGACACCACTTGAGGTTGCAAAATCAGATGACAGTTCGCCATAAGCTCTAACTCGACTAGTGTTCGAGTCGAATTCTGCTTTTAAGTCAAGAACGACCGCTATTGTCGGACGCCGATAAGTATGCCTTTGTTCTAGAACCTGACGAATAGTGAATATGTGGTCGATGCAGCCACGACCATTTCTGAAGCCAGGCTGCTTTCTGGTCATTATGGCCCATTCACATAGGACCTAATACAACACACCCAAGCGAAAAATCTGTTTTCTTTCCAACACAATATTTCTGGTTTAACCGCCGTTTCACAATAATGACAGTGAGATTTTAGTGGAGTTATCATCAACATCAGGATAAAAAGGAAGCATACGTCCGTGTAAACATTTTTTCACTTTATTTTTAATTGGTCCCATCTATTTCAAACATGCCAGGAGTAAAATGTTTGTCATTAATAACATTGAATGATCATCGCTGTATATCGCAAATTGTTTGAAGTTGGAATTTTACTACTGGATATCAACTGAGTGATATTGACGCTTAAGCGTTCATCAGGAGGTCTGAGGACACTAGTTTCGACTTCTGGTGGACTCGTGATTGTATGCATCGTTAAGGAGTCACATGATAGGAAGAAACAGTTACCTAGCTAGTACCCCCTGGTTTTCACTAGTACTACAAGATCAATCTGTAATGAATACAACTGAAATATTTTTCTAAAAGTCATTTTTCTATTTTCCATTCATTTATATTGAAACAGCTTGAAGCAAATGGTCGAATTGTTCAGCTTACTGGATTACGTAATATTAGTATACCACAGGCTACAGAAGATCTCATGTTAAATAATTCATCTGATCACCGTGGACCATGTTTATTACGATTTACTTTCACTGATGGTCGTAATCAAATATTGGGTTTAGATATGCAGAATAAATCAGATTTGAAGTAAGCACCCACCTGATATATACACACATATATTGTTTTATTTATTCATTTATTTGAACACATAAAGACTGGTAAAAGGGGGTACCTGATACAAATGCGCCACACAAATGTTATTTGATTTGTGTGAGGCCTGTGATACTGCCTGGGTGCCCGAACCGAAGCAGGTGGTTTTCTTATGAGGCCACACTCGGAGCCATCGACCTAAAGGTCTAATCCACAAAACAGTGGAGTAACTTACGGAGATGCAGTCCCAGGGTCGCCTGTGACCAGCAATAGATTCATTCGCCATTTGTTCCTTCAGGATATTGGAGCCCATGTTCACGATTAATTTGGAATCAGGGTTTCCCAACTAATTCCTTTAGGTGGAATCCCCATATCCACCAACCCGGTTCAAGCGCCGAACATTTGCTTTTCGTCTTCTGAATTTCGTAAACAGCACCCCCGCCATGAGAAGGCAGTGAGTAAGACTACCCTGTCAGAGGCTATATTTGCGTGGCTATGTGAGAGCATTCTGAGAGGGAGAGCGGAATCTCCACACTCTCGGCCGTACTAAGGTATTTGGGAGCGATCTGTACTGGTTGCATAATTTTCGTGATAGTATAGATTCTTCAGCAAGGCATACTTATAATCTTATGGAAATTAACACTTCCGTGGGTTTCGGACCAGTGTCATACAATTTCACAGTACTAAGCGTTACCACTGGGACTTGGTGACCAGACTACCATCTACCACGCAAAAGTATATTCAACGTGTCGTTTGAGTTGTCATCAAATAAATCGCTTAAATAAATTTTAAAAGTGCATCTTTTACAGTATTCTAAATGAATGTAGTCTCGGGAGTTTAGTTGTGTTTGACGGGAAAACATGGTTGGAGATGATAAGAACTGGTTGCATAGTCTGTGAGCGTTTGTGTGTAAAACGTCTTCTTGCCTATCAAACGATTCATAACATGTTTTTTGCTAAGCTGTTGGATTATTCTATCTTTTGAGATTTCAGTCAACTGGTTTCTTGTAAGCTATCATAACATGAGTTTTAATGACGCATTTCCAGTAGAATTTCCAACATTATTGTTATCCATTCAACGTTGTCAAATGAAAGATCACAGATTAGAATTGTGTTTCACTGTTATAATATCATTTGTATTTACCTATCAAAATCGTAACTGAAAGCTAATTACGTATCACTATGCCTTGCTTATTGATTTAAATATAAAGATAAACATCATGATTTGTAATATGATATTATATGTGTATTCTGAGTCTAATTTCTTTTATGATCAATCTTTCAAATATGTTCTTGGTTAGTTGATTGTAGAAAGCATTCAATAGAAATCGCTTGAATTCGTCTTGATCAGTTCATTGATTGATTGATTGTTTGATTGATCTATTTCAAGTTGTTTTTTTGTTGTAGATTGGAACTATCCAACTGTTGGTTTACTTTTGTTATCATACTGTTGAACTCTTGGTACACCATTCATTTAGTATCATTATTATTATTTTTTGTTGAGATCATTAACCGATCGATGTTAGATCACCATTGAAGACCTGGGAGCACCGCACGGCTGTTTCGTCCTATTTTGGGACTCTTCAGCAATGCGCATCCACCATTCCGCTCGCGGGACTCGAACCCAGGGTATTCAGTCTCGCGCGCGAACGCTTAACCTACTCGACCACTGAGCCGGCATCTAAAGGGGTAAATGTCTAATCTCAACCAATCCACGAAGTTGCGTGACTATCTTCCATTGTACTGAGGTAGACACTTGTTTCTACCCGAAACGGATTCGCTCCACTGGTCTCGACTTCTCACCAGAACTCTGAGAATTTTCTCACGAAGCTAGTCACTAGTGAGCACATTGTAATTATCAATTTAGGTGTTGTTAATGTTAGACCACCATTTTCAATCAAAAACTTGACAATCTCCATAACACCTAAATTGATATTATTTTTAAATGGAGTTTTAGTTTCGACTACTACTTGAACTTTTTGTGAGTAGTAGTTCTTTATCGAATGTAATAACACTCAATGTTTTGTTTTTATTTCTAACAAACAATTATCATTCATTCATTAATGAATGTTTCAATTTCAGTATGGATATTCCACCTGGAACAAAATTTCGTCTAATTGGTTCCATTCCATTAGTAATGGGGTTTTTATTATTATCTAAAAAGCATATTGTAGTACTTGGTGGAACTGTTAACAATTTAATACGGGAATGGAATATGACTAAGGTAAGTAGTAAATACTACCACTATGTTTATATTTGTTTGTTTGCTTTTCATTTGAACGCTGTTTGTATGAAGAGTTTTCAACAGTTTACTATAGAAACAGTGATCAAAGTGTTGATTGTCTGCATATTTTGTGTTGTCTGTTGGTGATTGTTTTTGATAAATTTCAGTATTTTGATAGAGTTTTGTTTTTTGATCTAAACTGATGCATGCTATTGGATCCACAAGTAATACCACATTCTAGATGATCAAAAGAGGAAGCTACATAGGATATTCATATCAGAACATTTAGAAATTTTAACAACGGTCATCACAAAATACCAAACCATCCAGCTCAGAGAACAAAACTCCATTGAAATCATCCACCTGAAGTGCAAATATTCTGCAAAATGTCATAAATTCCAATATATTTATAATCTTTCTAAATCTGATTGTTTGGTCTCTGATTTCCACATATGTTATAAAAGTTTTCAGGCTTATTAGATTACTAGTTGTCATGTGGAAAACATTTTATTTCTGTACTAAAATAAGTTCTGAAAGTAAAGTGTAACTGATTCATCAAGTACAGTATTTGTGTACCTTACTGTACTACTATCCTCTTTTTCAGAACGGATTAATTGAAATTGAAGTGGAGGATTCAAATCTCTACCACCTACTTGTTGTAAATTTGATCCTCGAGTAAATTAGACCTTTGTTTAATAGTTAGAACACTTTGTTCATCGTTTATTTGATACTTGAAAAGTTGAAAACTGATAGAATTCTAGAAGTCCGCACCCTTAATGCCTGTATGCTTAAATACGTATGCTCTCGTTTTTCCTCCTTTTTTATTTTCTAAATTACATAAAAAAATCAATGTGATTTGGCACAATATTCATCTAAGATCTTTGTGGATGATTCGAATAGGTAGTGATTGGAAGAATCCTACGGGACTATACTCTTTACTAATAAATTAAATGAATCTACATTATCAAAGTAGCATGGATTCCTAGTTAAACTTAAACCAGTGCCAAGTAGTGTACATTAATCGTGACCTGAATGGTTCTGTGGTGACAGCTGGAATTTTAATATTGGTTGGAATCATATAGAGAGTGTAAACTTGTCTTAGGATTTCAGATGATTCTCGTTAATGAACTTTATCGATTGCCTCCAATCATTCAGAATAGAAATCTCCTTTGACTTTTGCCGACTTGCATCTTTTATGTCTTTCATCATATGCACATCGTCTTCTCATTGCATTATCGAAAGATATGTACATCCGTCAAACGAAGGGCGAGTATACTGTTCAGAAATCAACTCTGTACCATTATTTATTTATTTATTTGAACACATAAATATTGGTACAGGGGGGCACCAAATATATATGCGCCACACAAAACAATGATAATTTGAAGAGAAGGAGAAAAGAGAAAAAAAAAGTAATGAACGTGGGGAATTATAAAAAAAGGGGGGAGAGAGAGAACAATGGTGGGGGAAACGGAAAGGTACAATCAGAAGAGATCTTTCAGTTAAGGAAGATACAACCACTTTTTATGAAGAAAGTAAAAGAAGGTTACAGCACGATCGCCACTGGCTTCTATTCTGAGCCATATCTGATAACAAATAAATAATATATTTGTAATATCCCAATGAGTAGAAAATTAGATTTTCTGACGTTTCGTGGCTTAGTGTAAGTCACTTCTTCAGAGAACAATCAACCCAATGCTCAATTTATTCGGAATTATCATATCTGATAACGTCTCTAGCCACTGCGTTACACCGTCTTTCGGACCCCAACCAGGGAGTCGTGAAGGACCAACAGAAGCTAGCCCTTTGCAGCTTTCTTTCATAACACGACACCATGTCATATACTGACCACCTCTCCGCTTTTTCCAACCAGTCCCAGAGTCGGTAAATAATGCACGACGTGGAATTCTCTGGGACGACATTCGTAGAACATGTCCAAGCCACCGAAGTCGGTGTTTCAAGATGGTGACACCAATTTCATTATGGTCTCTGTGACCGAACACTCGATGCCGAACCTCTGCATTACTGACATGGTGTTGCCACTGGATGCCAGCAATCCTTCGGAGACAACGATGATCGAACACAGAGAGTCGTCTAACATCCTCAACTCGGAGAGGCCAGGTTTCACAAGCATAGAGCAAAACTGCTCTCACCGTCGCGTTGTAGATCCGACCTTTTACAGCCAGACTAACATCACGAAGGCGCCAAAGATGGCCCAGATTGGCATAAGCCGTTCTGGCTTTCACTATACGTGCATTGATCTCATCACTCACGCCACCACAAACAGCACTTATGCAGCTACCTAGATACACGAACTTCTCGACTACTTCAATCTGCTCACCATCCAGAGTGAGTACAGGATTATAATCCTGTCAGTCTTGTAGAAGTACTTTGCACTTCGAAGGTGCAAAGCACATACCATACCTACGGACATTGATTGCCAACTTATTAAGTGAGTATTGAATGGCTTAGGTATTATCGCACAGTAAGACAATATAATCCGCATACTCAAGGTCGAGAAGTCTTTCTCCAGGCAACAGATTCACACCACCATTACTTGCATCCATCAGAGCTGTTTTCAGAATGTCATCGATGGCAAAGTTGAAGAGGAATGGTGAGATTGGGCAACCCTGTCTAACCCCACTGCTTGAATGGAGCAATGGAGAAAGGTGGTTGAATGCCCTCACTCTGCCTGAGGTGTTTGTGTATAGGGCTTTTAGGATGTTAATAAACTTCTCAGGCACACCCTTCTTCAATAGACAATCCCAGAGAACAGTTCTGTCCAAGGTATTGAAGGCAGCCCTGATATCAAGAAACACTACGATTGTTGGCCTTTGATAAGTATGGCGGTGTTCTAACACTTGGCGGAGGGTGAAGATATGATCAATACATCCTCGACCAGAACGAAACCCAGCCTGCTCCTCGCGAGTCACTCCTTCTCGGGTTCTGAACAATCTACGAAGTGTGACGGAAGCCAATAGCTTGGACGCAATCGGAAGTAGACTTATGCTCCGATAGTTGTTACAGGAACGACGTGAACCCTTTTTAAAGATAGGGACAACTATCAACTCATTCCATGACGTTGGTACACTCTCTAGTTCCCAGATCTTTGTAAACAACGTCGTCAGTCCCTTAGTCAAAAAGTCACCACCATCTTTAAAAAGAGCCGGAGGTAAGTCGTCTGGGCCCGGTGATTTGTAACGTTTCAAGAGTTGGAGTTCCTTTCAGACTTCCGCCTCATTTGGTGGATCAGTCGTCACCGGCCATGAAGGGCAGGACAGTCTGACCGATGTTGCCGGAGCAGCAGGCCAGTTGAACTGCCCTTCAAAGAATTATGCCCATCGTCCAAGACGTCGATGGATGTTAGTGATTGGCGTTCCGTCATCCTCGCAGATTGTTTCGCTCACACCAGACTTCTTGCTGCCAGTGGCTCGGATGAGTTGGAAGAGCTTCCGGTAATTACCAGATGCAGCTGCTGCTTCCAACTCACTGGGACGCTCCGACCACCAGGCTTCTCGGTCCTTACGCAAGCTTTGCCCGATTTCATTACGTAACATCCTTCGTCTGTGGTCAAACTCACAGTCACCCGGAGTAGACCGACGGGCTTCAATCAGTTGTAAGGAACCAGAAGAAACCCAGTGCTTGTAAGCGGGACGTTTCGCAAACCCACAACAGACTGTACCCGCCATTTTCATGGCGTCATGCAATTGCAACCAATGCTCATCTATACTTTTCGGTGGAATGGTAGCTAGCCTAGAAGCTAGCTCGATTCGGTACTTACTAGCAACAGAAGTTGCAGCCAGCTTGCTAACATCAATCCTTTGGTGGCGGTCACTTCGTTGTCCACTGAAAAGTAAGGTAAGATTGGCGCAGACCAGAGCATGATCAGATTCCAGATAGGTACTCCAAAAGGAGCGGCAGTCTTGTACACAACCGCGCCAGCGGTAGCTGATCGCGATGTGATCAATCTGAGTCCAGGCTTGAGATGCAGAAGGAGGACGCCAGGTGGCACATCGGCGATGACTGTGCCGAAAGTTAGTGCTAGCCAGAAACAGGTTGTGGTCTGTGCATAGTTGCAGTAGACGTTCCCCGTTATCTGTCCTGCGACCAACGAGTCCCCATCGGCCACCTAAACGACTCTCTTCTGTGCCTAGACGCCCGACCTGAGCATTCAAGTCTCCAGCTAGTACTACAATATCTGTCGAACGCTCTTTCTGGAGAAGAACAGTTAGCTGGTGGTAGAACTCGTCCTTGATTGCATCCGGGCTGCAATCTGTCGGGGCATAGGCGGAGATGATGAAAAGACATCGTTTCTCACGCCGATTTCTTCTCACTTTGATGGAACTTTCTAATCTAACAGCACATAACCGACTGTTAATGGGGATCCAGTCGACTAGTGCTGCCTCAGCTCTTGCGCTTAGTGCGACACCAACGCCAGCAAGACCAGACGAAGATACCACAGGGTCCCCGGATAAACGCACATGAAACAAGCTTTTTGAAGTGACAGATGGAGAGCGAACTTGTAGTACTTCACCAGAGTCTTGAATACGGGTCTCGGATAGACAACACACATCAATATTAAGACTTTCCAAAGACATAGCCAGCCCTATCTGTTGTCCGACCTGCATAAGTGTGTGAACGTTGAAGGCAGCCAGTTTGAATGGTGCACGTGGTTTCAGAAAAACTGCTTCAGTACTCATATTCGGTAGTAACATACAATTTTCAACCAGGCAGTGACTCGAGAACGTTTAGATAAAGCTGAATTTTCACCATAGGCGAGCTGCTGTCTGAGTCGAAACGGATACAAAAAGTAGAAATAGGAGATAGTGAATAAATGACGTAGTAAATATTAATAATAATAATAATAATAATAATAATAATAATAATAATACCAGTCATTTGAATGTTAGTCGGAGAGAAACGTATATTTTCTATAAGCAGATAGTTCATCATGGTTTTAGTGTGTGGGCTGAGATACTGCCCGGGTGCCCAAACCGAAGCAGGTGGTCTTCTTAGGGGACCACACCCCGAGCCTTTGGCCTGAACGTCTGATCCACAAGGCAGTGGAGCATCGTGAGGAGATGCAGTCCCATGGTAGCCGGTGACCAACGATTGGTTCATACTTCATTTGTTCCTTCAGGATACTAGAGCCCATGTGCACCATTGGTTTGGGGTCCGGTTAAAGCGCCGGACATTCGCTTTTCGTCCTCTCATTTTCGTAAACAACACCCCTGGTGTGAGAGGGCAGTGAGTAGGACTTCCCTGGCAGAGGCTGTATACGCGTGGCCGTGTGAGAGTATTTCGAGAGGGAGGGCGAACCCTCCCCGCTCTCGGCCATACCAGGGCATTTGGGGGCCCGTATTACCTACATTATAACCATTAAACATGATCTATGAAGGTAGGTAGAAGAGTTGTTCATAAGTATCTTTAAATCATTACTCGCGTATCACAGAACTATTGAGTAGGCGATATGAAGGTTAGACGCAGGGTACTTGTCCAAAATTCTAAATCGGTCAATGACGTTGTGTATTTTTTCTGACTGAGTTTGGATGTATGCTTAACATCCGTTACTACTAAGTAGTTAATTTGGAATTTATGGTTCAGTTTACTTTTTCTTATGTTCAAATTCATAATTTTATAAATTACTTTCACCCTTTTTAGTTTCTTAAAGGAACAGATAATCGTCTGATCGGTAGTGGTGCTCCAATGTTTGTACCGTTTGGTAGTCGTGAAGCTTCTTGCCTTATTCAGACAGAAGGGAAATTTCTTAATCAATTACGATCGGATCGAGAGCGTAATCAAAGTAAGAGTGTGTGTGTGTGTGAAAGAGAGAGAAAGTATACTAAATTAAGTATTGTTTGTTACTTATACTACGTGCACATAAATTCCAACGTTGTATGAATATAATGACGTTGCATCCCATTGCATTTATCAGTTCACATTTATTTGTGAATACACATGTCTTTGAGGTTGTAAACAATGATTAAATGATCTACATAGTTAATGATATGATATATTATTTGAAGGAGGCGCTTTAAACTAACATAGAATCCTTAAGTTTTAAGAGGTAGATTATTTCATATTCTTCTCTATATTTAAACAATTTACATGATTGATACTTTCTAATAATTACGCAATGTTAAGTCATATAATTTCTAGGGTACATCAGTCATATTTCCCTCAGAGAATACTCTCTATTGTTGGCAATCTACTGTGTTTCAAAACATCACAAATACTTTGATAAAGTCCCATAGATATATGATTTTCTTAAAATATTAGTTCATTCACAATTTTTCCTTTATATATTACACCATTGAGTTGATTGCTTCTATGAATTCGGTGTTCGTCTTGCTGTGCTAATGAGGTGTGGCAACTTGGACCGATGCACATATGTGCCTGATCCTACGTTGTGACTGACGGACTGACCGTTGGAAAGCACAAAATACCAAACAATTCATCGTTGTCATCAACACAAGACACCATTTATGATAATCCAGGTTTTGTAGCATTCCTATAGTCTTTTCAATCTTCACCAAACTACTGATCCACTATTGAGGTAGGTTATTTTCTTCAACACGTTAGCTCCATGAACATCTGTCAATATTTTGTGAACTTCGGGAAGTTCCTACAGAAATGAGAGAAACCGTGTGAAAAGTTTACTCACGGAAGTCTATAGAAGATGGTTGCACAGTATCGTGGATTGACTGGAGTTATACATATTGGATACTGGCTTAACCGCCTGAAGATTAAGTGTTCATGTGTGAGACTAAAGATCTTCAGTTTGATTCTTAAACAATCACTGATGAGGAGCCCTAAGTTAAGACAAATTAGCCGTCTAGTGCTTCCATGTTTCCGGTGATTGTCTAACGTAGATAAGTTTATGACAGCAATAAAAACTGTAGTAATAGTTTAGTTCAGGTATTTATTTGACAGATCATTTTGAAACATGAATAACACATGTTTCTTAGTGTTTGTAATTTGCAGTGACATTATTATTTTGTTTTTAAGAGTATAAGTTTCAATAATAATTCAAGTATACACGTTAATTATTTTCATATTATTTATTTATTTAAACACATAAACATTGGTACAAGGAGGCACCAAATAGATATGCTTCACATAAATCAGTCGGCTGGGATACTATCTGGGTGTCCAAACCGAAGCAGGTGGTTTTCTTACAGGGCCACACCCGGAGCGTTTGACTTAAAGGTCTAATCCACAAGTTGGAGGAGCAACGTCAGGAGATGCAGTCTCATGATAGTCGGTGACCAACGATTGGTCCATACTCCACTTGTTCCGTCATGATCCTGGAGCCCATGTGCTCCATTGGTTTGGAATCAGGGTTTTCTAACTAACTCCCTTAGGTGGACTCTCTTTGTCCACCAACCCGGTTAAAGCACCGGACATTCATTTTTTGTTCTCTCAATTTCGTAAACAACAGGTGGGCCGCAAGAATTCAGTGAGTAGGACTTCCCCGTCAGTGGTTGTATGCACGTGGCCGTTTGAGAGCATTTGGAGAGGGAGAGCTGACTCTCCCCTCTCTGGACCATACTAAGGCATTATGGGTCAATTATTTTTATAACTTGCTTTTTATATAAGCATGAATATGTATATATATGTACCCATTTATATTTCTAGTGAAATTTGATTCATTTCAAATGATTACAACTAATCGTAATGAAGATCAAGTAGAAAGTGAATTACAAACCTTATTCAATGAACATCGTAAAGAAGTATTAGCTGAATTGAAATCATCAACAAGTTTATGTAAACGTTTATCATCTGATAATCATATTAATGGTAATGATATTACTAACAATGTCAATAATACAAATGATCATCAAAGAATATTTTCTGGCAATAAATCACGACGATTTCGACCAGGTTTATCAAGGTAAATATTCTATAGAAACTTTCTAGTTGATAACTATTACTTCATAATAATCAACTTTAATCGGTTATTAGTGAGTAAACTCGTTTATTTCCGAACTTATTGAAAGTTATGAATACTTACCAGAACTTTGAAAATGTGTTTTTTTAGATCAGTCCATGATCAATGAAATGATAACAGTACTTAGTTGATTACACTGTGACAATGGTTGTTACAATTATTGAAGATCAAGGTTTAATACCCTGGTGCTCAAACCGAAGCAGGTGGTCTACTTACGGGGCCACACTCCGAGCCTTCGACCTAATGGTCTTACCCACAAGACAGTGGAGCAACGTCAGAAGATGCAGTCCTATGGTAGTCGGTGACCAACGACTGGTCCATACGCCATTTATTCCTTCATGATCCTGGAGCCTATGTCCATCATTGGTTTGGAATCAGTGTTTTCCAACTCCCCTAGGTGGAATATTTGTATCCACTGACATAGTTAAAGCACGGGATATTCACTTTTCGTTCTCTCAATTTCGTAAACAACACCCTTGCCGCAAGAAGGCAATGAGTGGGATTTCGATGTCAGTGGTTGTATACACGTGGCCATGTAAGAGCATTTCGAGAGGGAGAGTAAACTCTCCTCACCCTCAGTCATACCAGGGTATTCGGGGGTTATTGTTGATTTTCTTCCAAGTACCAAACTTGATTTATATCTATCTAGAAATCCATTCGTTATGCATCAGTCTATAAATTCACTAACATCTGGTTTGATACATGTTGGTAGATGCAAACTACTTGGTTGGGGTCCGCAATGGTTGGAGACTCTTGGTGACCTGATTCAGAATCGATCACGATGGCGTAGGTGATGTATACACACTCTGTCTTCCCTTAAACTGTGAGGTTAAAATCGCTTTATATCTTTCTTTCCACGATATAATTCTTTATTCCTCTACTATCGCCTTATATGCAATCTTTCTTTTATGTATTACTACCATTGAAGTAACTACTTCTATGAATCTGGTGTTCATGTTGTTGCTCTAATGAAGTATGGCAACTTGGATCGATGCACATATGTGTCTGGTCCTACATTGTAGCTGACTGTCTCGTTCTAAACACAGACAATAGTTTTTGCCAAGAAAATAAACTGAATAGAACTACTTGTAATTATAAACAGAGATGAATGATAGCTATCAGTAGAATTAAAAATACTTATTTCATCCTATTTTGTTGTGGACGTTAGATCCCCAGAAATCACTTGGAAATGGACCTAAATTTGTAATTTTATTTAGAAAATTTGAATTTCTTTATTTTCGCACCAAAAGCGCTCTTGTGACCTTCATGTCGTATTTCTTACTTGGCAAATATCTTAAATGTTATTGGTCCGTTGCGTCTTTTAGTATGCTATTTAGTAACTCTCCCCAAGGACGGTTTTGTGCTGTATATATACGTTTTGATTTGTGTTTGTTGTTATCACTCGTTTCTGGCTGTTTGCAGAATATCCTTCCCTATTTTCAAGCTTAGACTTCTTCCTCTAGTTAACAAGGATGTGATGCATCAAATAGCTAGCTTATTAGTTTTTAGTCACTGAGTCTTTGTTCTCGTTCGCAGTTTAAGTGAACTCGTAACCGTTTCATATGTAGCATATTTAAAACTTGTCAGATAGAGATGTACTTGTATCTTAGAATCATTGTTCGTTTTGGGACTCGAACTCATAACTATTCACTTCAAATATTAATGCATACTTACTGAGTTTGTTCACTCTCAACTTTTTTTTCTTTCTTTAATCATTAAATTTTAGATTTTATGAACTTCAATCACAAAAAACTATGGAATATGATATATCTATAGCCAAATTATTATCATTAGGTTATTCTTATCAAATAGCAAATCGTGCATTAAAAGATAATCATCATAATTATCAAGCTACATTAGATTGTTTATTATCTAAATCTACTACCATGATGCATATTGAAGATAATTCAATAATAAATAATCATTCTATAAATAATACATCATATGGAATTCATTCACGTGGTATAAATGTTAAGAGTAATCGTAGTAGTCGTGGATATGAACGTGGTCATCGTGGCAGTAGTCGATATGATTCTGATGGATATGGATTTAATTCTAATCGAGTATGTTTATGATTAAATTATCAATAATATTCAATTAAATTTGTTCTATGTATTCGGTTTTGTGTTACACTTTGTTTTCATGCTAACCAAGTTCAAACTTATGATTTATTGTTTGAAATTACTGTCATCATTTAACGATCATATTTATTTATCTATTTTAACACATAGATATTGGTACAAGGAGGCAAATAAATATGCGCCACACAGATCTCATTGGATATGTGTGAGGACTGTGATACTGCTCGGGTGCCCAAACCGAATCAGGTGGTTTTTTTAAGGGGCTACATCCCGAGCCTTAGACCTAAAGGTCTGACCCACAAGGCAATGGAGCATCGTGAGGAGATGCAGTCTTGTGGTAGCCTGTGACCAACCACTGGTTCATACGCCATTTGTTCCTTCAGGATCCTGGAGCCCATGTGCACCATTGGTTTTGGGTTTTGTTAAAGCGCCAGACATTCGCTTTTCGTCCTCTCATTTTCGTAAACAACCACGCTGGTGTGAGAAGGCAGTGAGTAGGACGTCCCTGACAGAGGCTATATATGCGTTGCCATGTGAGAGCATTTGGAGAGGGAGAGCGAACTCTCCCCACTCTCGGCCATACCAGGGCATTTGGGGGCCATTTAACGATTACTGATTGTGGATATATTTTGATTTAAACTGTTTATTTTATATGCTAATCAATCATTACACACTCAACAGTTTCATGTTCTATAAGTAAAGATGGATGATGACTAACAATCGAATCTAGGACAGGTGTTTCGTTCTATTTGAGATTCGTCAGATGTTACATTATACATGTTCATCAGTACAGAATGAAATGTGCTCATTAAATGGATTGATCAATAAATTATTCAAAATGAGCTTAGTTTAAATACTAAATGTTTATTGGAGGTGATTTTTTACTATCATACAAGAGAGAAACATTGGGTTACACATGGATATTAAACTACTTTTAATTTTCAATATCGTATTTCTGATCAATAGTATTGTAATAAGTCTTCTAAATCTATGTATACATATATATCGTCTCGTAGAAGGGTTTTATTATGATTGGATCTAGGCGTGTCCGAGTTGACTTGTTTATTTATTCTAGTTACTTACTTACTCACTACTTTGGTTAAACCTCTTACTCACAATGGAGAATAGGCATCAGACCGACATTCTACAACCCACTCTGTCCTCAGCCTTTCTTTACAGTGTTATGCTATTTTAGTGCATTATTCTCATATCTGTCTCCATTTCTTAGTGTAATGTGTTCTTTGTTCTTCCTCTTCACCCTCTTCGACCTTGAAAATTCCATGTGAAAGCTTGCCTTGTGACGCAGTTCAGTGCTCTCCTCAATGCGTGTGTCCTATACACTTCCAACACTTCTTCCGGATTTCTTCCTCCACTGGAATCTGGTTTGTTCTCTCACACATCAAGTTTTTGCTGATAGTGTCTGGACAATGGATCCGAAGTATTCTGTGTAGACAACTGTTAACAAACAATAGTATCTTGTGGATGATTGCTTTTGTAGTTCTCCAGATTTCCGCCACATACAATAGAACTGTCTTCATATTTGTATTGAAAATTCTGACCTTCGTGTTGGTTGACAGACAGTTGTTTTGAGTTCTAGATGTTCTTCAGTTGTAAATATTCTGCTCTTACTTTTCCGATCCATGCCTTCACATCTGCATCAGATCCACCGTGTTTATTTATGATGCTGCCCAAATATGTAAAGGTTTTTACATCTTCCAAATCTTCTCCGTCAAGTGTGGTTCGATTGTTACATGCAGTGTGGTATCGGAGAATCTTGATTTCGGTTTATGTATGTTGAGGCATACTGCTTCTAAGGCTGTTGTTGCTGCTGCTGCTACATTGGTCGTCTTCTCCTGCATTTGTTATTGCATGTACGATAAGAGAGCCAGATGATCTGTGAAGTCTAGATCGTCCAGCTTCATTTTAGTTATACAATCTTATTACTCTTTATCTTATCTATATTAGTTGACTCAGTATCAACTTTGCAATACACTCACCATAGTTACATGAAGTAAACTGACACATCGATACATCAAGTATACATTTACTATTTTGTTAAGCAATTCTGTGAAAATGCAATATGAATCTACTTAAGAAACAAATTTCAGAAAAAAGAAGAAATATTCTCTTTGATGACCTGTTGTATTGATAAGCCATACAAGTTAATAGTTGATTATATAAACAACAGTTGCATATTATCAAATTAGGTAGAATAAATGTTATTATTATTATCATTGTAAGCTGGAAAAAAACTTACTTACTTACTTACTTACGCCTGTTACTCCCAATGGAGCATAGGCCGCCGACCAGCATTCTCCAACCCACTCTGTCCTGGGCCTTCTTTTCAAGTTCCATCCAATTCTTGTTCATTTTTCTCATATCTATCTCCATTTCCCGGCGTAATGTATTCTTTGGTCTTCCTCTCTTCCTTCGACCTTGAGGATTCCATGTGAGGGCTTGTCTTGTGACGCAGTTGGGTGCTTTCCTCAATGTGTGTCCTATCCAGCGCTTCTTCCTGATTTCTTCCTCCACTGGGATCTGATTTGTTCTCTCCCACAGTAGGTTGTTGCTAATAGTGTCCGGCCAGCGGATCTGAAGTATTTTGCGTAGACAACTGTTAATAAACACCTGTATCTTTTGGACGATGGATTTCGTAGTTCTCCAGGTTTCCGCGCCATACAGTAGAACTGTCTTGACATTTGTATTGAAAATTCTGACTTTGGTGTTGGTTGCCAATTGTTTTGAGTTCCAGATATTCTTCAGTTGTAGATATGCTGCTCTTGCTTTGCCAATCCGTGCCTTCACATCTGCATCAGATCCACCGTGTTCATCGATGATACTGCCCAAATATGTAAAGGTTTTTACATCTTCCAAAGCTTCTCCATCAATTGTGATTGGATTGGTACATGTTGTGTTGTATCGGAGAATCTTGCTTTTCCCTTTGTGTATATTGAGACCTATTGCTGCTGAGGCTGCAGCTACACTGGTTGTCTTCTCCTGCATTTGTTGTTGTGTGTGCGATAGAAGAGCCAGATCATCTGCGAAGTCTAGATCATCCAATTGCATCCTAGCTATCCACTGTATCCCGTGCTTCCCTTCAGATGTTGATGTCTTCATGATCCAGTCGATCACCAGGAGAAAGAGAAAGGGTGAGAGTAAGCAACCTTGCCTGACACCGGTCTTTACTTCGAAGGAGTTTGTCAACTGTCCTCCATGCACGATTTTGCAGTTTAATCCATCATAGGAATTCTGTATGATATTGACTATCTTCTGAGGCACGCCGTAGTGTCGAAGAAGCTTCCATAGGGTTGTTCTGTCCACGCTATCAAATGCTTTTTCGTAGTCGATGAAGTTGATATAGAGTGATGAATTCCATTCAATTGATTGTTCCACAATGATCCGTAGAGTTGCGATTTGGTCTGTGCACGATCTATCCTTACGGAATCCTGCCTGTTGGTCTCGAAGTTGGGCGTCTACGGAGTCCTTCATCCTGTTTAACAATACCCTGTTGAAGACTTTTCCTGGTATTGAGAGAAGAGTGATTCCCCTGTAGTTGTCACAGTTGCTGAGATCGCCTTTCTTTGGTATTTTGACTAGAAGTCCTTCTTTCCAGTCTTTTGGTACCTGTTCCTCATCCCAGATCTTTCTGAAGAGAGTTTGGAGTATCCTTGCAGTTGCCGCTACGTCTGGTTTCAGTGCCTCTGCTGGAATGTTGTCTGGTCCTGCTGCTTTACCACTCTTGATTTGTCTGATAGCCATGCTGATTTCTTCAATTGTCGGTGCGCCAACATCAATTGGGAGGTCCGTGAGTGCTGCTTCGATGTTGGGTGGGTTCAGTGGGGCTGGTCGATTCAAGAGTTCTTTGAAGTGTTCTACCCACCTGTTTCGTTGTTCTTCAATGTTGGTGATTATCTTGCCTTCCTTGCTTTTCACTGGTCGTTCTGGTTTACGGTGATTTCCGGAGAGTTTCTTTGTTGTGTCATACAGTTGTCTCATGTTTCCTTCTCTCGCAGCCTTTTCCGCCGTCAATGCCAAATCTTCGACATATTTACGTTTGTCAGTTCTGATGCTCCTTTTCACTTGCTTGTTTACTTCTGTGTATTCAGCCTGTGCCTTGACTTTTTCTGCTCTTGTTCGACTGGTATTGATTGCTACTTTCTTGTTCCTCCTTTCTTGAATCTTATCCAGTGTATCGACCGTGATCCAATCCTTGTGATGGTGCTTCTTTTGGCCCAGAACCTCATGACATGTTGAAGTGATTGTCTCTTTTATCTCTTTCCAGTTGCTCTCCATAGTAGTTCCTTCTCCATTGAGTAGATCATGAAAGGCTTGGAACTTATTGCTGAGGGTTATCTTGAATTTATTGAGTTTGTCATTATCCCGAAGAAGAGCCGTATTAAATTTTTGTGATATTGTCCTCCCCGTTGTCCAGTGCCTCTTGAGTTTCAATTTCATCTTGGCGACCAGCAAGTGATGATCTGATGCTATATCAGCTCCTCTCTTTGTTCTCACGTCCTCCATCGTCCTCTTGAACTTTTTGTTGATGCAGATATGGTCGATTTGGTTCTGTGTGGTGTGATCCGGTGAAGTCCATGTGGTTTTGTGTATGCGTTTATGTGGGAATATAGTCCCGCCTATGACCAGTTTATTGAAGGCACATAGATTTGCAAATCTCTCACCATTTTCGTTCCTTTCTCCGAGTCCGTGTCGTCCCATGATCTCTTCATATCCGGTGTTGTCAATTCCAACCTTGGCATTTAGGTCTCCCATCAGAATAGTCAGGTCTTTTGTTGGGCACTTCTCGACGATTGACTGCAGCCTATCGTAGAATTGATCTTTAGCGTCTTCATTGTAGTCATTGGTAGGCGCGTAGCATTGGATGACGTTCATTGTAATCCCCGTTTTCTTTGTTTTGAAGGAGGCTTTGATGATCCTTGGTCCATGAGATTCCCATCCTATAAGTGCATTTTGTGCTTGTTTGGACAGCATCAATGCAACTCCTTGTGTATGTGGGGCATTTTCTTGTTCATGTCCGGAGTATAACAGCAGCTCCCCTGAAGCTAGTCGTTGTTGTCCAACTTGCGTCCAATGTGTTTCACTGATCCCAAGCACCTCTAAATTGTATCTCCTCATTTCTGCAGCAATTTGGAAAACTCTCCCAGTCTCCCACATTGTGCGAGCATTCCATGTACCTAAATAAATGGTTGCTCTGGTTGTCAGAAGGAGCATCGGCCTCGTGACTTCCGAAGAAACTCGGCTTTCATCATGAGGCGTCATAATTCTTCTAAACGAAGACCTCCTGACTCCCAGGGCAGAGTTTAAATGGTTTTAATAATTTTTTCTGGTTAGCGTTTTTTTAGCGAGTTAGTTTTCTACGGGATGGGGTCGCTAACCCCATGCCCAACCCTCCTCCTTTATCCGGGCTTGGGACCGGCAGTAGCCCCCGGAAAGGGACTCCAGGCGGAGTTTGGAAAAAAACAGTGATCAATAAATTGGGATCATAAACCGATTGATGTTAGACCACCATTGAAAACCTGGAAGCATTGGACGGTGGATGCGCACTGCTAAGGAGTTCCACAACAGGACGAAACGACCGTCCAGTGGTTCCAAGTTTACAATGGTGGTCTAACCTCAATCGGTTTATGATCTCAATCAAAAACTTGACAATCTCCACAACACCTAAATTGATAGTGATCAATGAATAACATTAAAAGATTATCAAAGAATATTGATAATCGATTGAAATTAGAAATGTTGAAACCACTGAATACTGGCTTTATGATTCAAAGATTATAAAAGTCCCATAAGAACTGAAATTTTTATTTCTACTTTTGAATTCTTATTAATAAATTATTATAATTTCATTGATTAAGATCATGAGTCAGTTGAAGCTAGACCACCATGGAAAACCTGGAAGCACTGGACGGCCATTTCGTCCTATTGTGGGACTCCTCAGCAGTGCGCATCCACGACCTCGCCCCCTGCGAGACTCGAACCCAGGACCTACCGGCTTCGCGCGCGAGCACTTAACCACTAGACCACTGAGCCGGCATCCAACGGTGGTCTAGCTTCAACTGACTCATGATCTTAATCAATGAAATTACTACAATCTCCACAAAACCCCTTCTGATGATTATTATAAGTTATATATCTATATTATTCTTTTACTTGTTAAGTTTCAATCTTCTATTGGAACTACAAATGATCAGCATACATTATTGATCCGACCATCAACAGGACTGATTCGATTAGATGATTTAATTGTTGATACAAAACCAATAACAACAACAACAACAACATCATCATCATCATCAACTATTATATCAAAAACTTGTATTCTACCAGTTGGTTGTCCAATTCTAGCACAAAATATATCTGGTGATTATGAAGAAGCTCAATTAATTGGTCATTTCTCTTCACAACAATTTAATAAAACATTTAATAGTAACAATATTATTATTGATGATAAAAGTTCCGGAGAGAAAGTTGTACTTGTTGTTTATCATCATCAACATAAAAATAATCCTGAAATAATTGTAGATGAAGAAGAAATTGTACCAATCAGTTTGATAAGAACATTAAATAAAGAAAAGGTAAGTAGTAGTAGTAGTAGTAGTATATTCACTGTATATGTGACATAAATTAGTGCGTTTATGTGTATGTGTGTCCGGTGTCAGGCAAAGTTGTTTACTCTCACCCTTTCTCCTTCTCCTGGTGATCGACTGGATCATGAAGAGATCAACATCTGGGGAGAAGCATGACATACAGTGGACATCTAGGATGCAGTTGAACGATCTAGGCCTTCTTATTGCACACGCAACAACAAATTCAGGAAAGGATGACCAATGTAGAAACAGTCTCAGCAGCAGTAGATTTCAACATACACAAAGGGAAAAGCAAGATTCTCCGTTACAACACTGCATGCAACAATCGAACCACACTTGACGGAGAAGATTTGGAAGATGTAAAAACCTTTACATATTTGGGCAGCATCATAAATAAACACGGTGGATCTGATGCAGATGTGAAGGCATGGATCAGAAAAGTAAGAACAGAATATTTACAACTGAAGTACATCTAGAACTCAAAACAACTGTCTGTCAACCAACACGAAGGTCAGAATTTTCATTACAAATGTTAAGACAGTTTTACTGTATGGGGCAGAAACCTGGAGAACTACAAAAGCAATCATCCACAAGATACTATTGTTTGTTAACAGTTGTCTACACAGAATACTTCGGATCCATTGTCCAGACACTATCAGCAACAACTTGATGTGTGAGAGAACAAACCAGATTCCAGTGGAGGAAGAAATGAGGAAGAAGTGTTGGAAGTGTATAGGACACACGCATTGAGGAAAGCACCGAACTGCGTCTCAAGGCAAGCTTTCACATGGTATCCTCAAGGTTGAAGAGGGTGAAGAGGAAGACCAAAGAACATATTACAATGAGAAGAATGAACTGTAAAGGAAGGCTGAGGACAGAGTGGGTTGTAGAATGCTGGTCGGTGGCCTATTCTCCATTGGAAGTAACAGGCATCAATAAGTAAATGTATATGTGTGCATATATGTGTATAGGTGAGAATGTGCTTAAAATTCTTTGAAACACTGCTGTCTTTTTGATTAAAGTGAAACCGAGTTATCCAATTTCTTACTTTTTTTTAAACAAAAAAAAAAGACTGAATTAGTCAAGGATTAAAGCTTGAAGCATCATTACTCATCTAAAACCGATGGATAGTTTAATAAAACGTCAAGTTTTACAATAACAAATATTTCATCTTACTCCATAGTTTTTTTCCTTTCCGTCAATAATACCTTAAAAGTATAGAGCTAATGCATTACCAAAAATGGCTTCATTTAGTTGTACTTTCCGCTGTTTGGTCACATTTCTAGTTCATCTAGATCATCTTGAATCAAATTATCTATCTTTTTCAAGTCTTCCACAATGTTGACAATCTGAGATGTCCTAACTTCTCTAATATCATTTGAAATCCCCTTATTCATCTATATATAGTCCATTGGTTTGATCAGTTTCTTTTATGATGATTTATCTCATTAATGTCATCAACTTTGCCATCGATGACATTCTGGAAACAGCTCTGACGGATGTCAGTAATGGTGGTGTGGATCTGTTGCCTGGAGAAAGACTTCTCGACCTTGAGTATGCGGATGATATTGTCTTACTGTGCGAGAATGCCCAAGCCATGCAATCCGCACTTAATCAGTTGGCAATCAGTGTCCGTAGGTATGGTATGTGCTTTGCACCTTCGAAGTGCAAAGTACTTCTACAAGACTGACAGGATTCTAATCCTGTACTCACTCTGGATGGTGAGCAGATTGAAGCAGTCGAGAAGTTCGTGTATCTAGGTAGCTGCATAAGTGCTGTTTGTGGTGGCGTGAGTGATGAGATCAATGCTCGTATAGTGAAAGCCAGAGCGGCTTATGCCAATCTGGGCCATCTTTGGCGCCTTCGTGATGTTAGTCTGGCTGTAAAAGGTCGGATCTACAACGCGACGGTGAGAGAAGTTCTACTCTATTCTTGTGAAACCTGACCTCTCCGAGTTGAGGATGTTAGACGACTCTGTGTTCGAACATCGTTGTCTCCGAAGGATTGCTGGCATCCAGTGGCAACACCATGTCAGTAATGCAGAGGTTCGGCATCGAGTGTTCGGTCACAGAGACGATAATGAAATCGGTGTCACCATCTTGTAACACCGACTTCGGTGGCTTGGACATGTTCTACGAATGTCGTCCCAGAGAATTCCACGTCGTGCATTATTTGCCGACTCTGGGACTGGTTGGAAAAAGTGGAGAGGTGGTCAGTATATGACATGGTGTCGTGGTATGAAAGAAAGCTGCAAAGGGCTGACTTGTGTTGGTCCTTCACGACTCCCTGGTTGGGGTCCGAAAGACGGTGTAACGCAGTGGCTAGAGACGTTATCAGATATGGCTCAGAATAGAAGCCAGTGGCGATCGTGCTGTAACCTTCTTTTACATTCTTCATAAAAAGTGGTTGTATCTTCCTTAACTGAAAGATCTCTTCTGATTGTACCTTTCCGTTTCCCCCACCATTGTTCTCTCTCCCCTTTTTTTATAATTCCCCACGTTCATTACTTTTTTTTTCTCTTTTCTCCTTCTTTTCAAATTATCATTGTTTTGTGTGGCGCATATATATTTAGTGCCCCCCTGTACCAATATTTATGTGTTCAAATAAATAAATAAATAATAATCTCATTAATGAATTGTTATAATTGATAATCATTACTGTGTATTAAATGATATTATTATCTCACTTTTAAGTGAATAATTCTATTGTTGTATATAATTTGATACAGATTACTATAGATATGGTGCCTCCTGCACCATTAGATAGAATACTACCATATTGTAGTCAATCACAATCTGAATATACAGATATTAATCGATATGATGAAATACCTTCTACTGATTGTGGATATACAAGTCGACCCTATCAATCTAATAGAGGACGCAGAGGTATTGGTGGTGGTAGTCGTAATCATAAAGTATTCCGTGCTGGAAGAGGCAGTGGTGGTAGACGTTCACGTGGTAGAAATAATCACTTCTAATGAAGAAATATTATTCGTTTTCTTTTCATAATTATATTTGAAATCAATATGTTGCTATGTAAAAATGTGTACATACACTTTTGTTTTGTATTAAAAACTTTTCTCTATATATCTATTCTCTTTTCTTATTCTTCTCCCTCTTCCTTTTTCCTTCTCTTCTTCTTCTTTTTTTTTCTTCTTATTATGTGTTGTATTGTGTTGTATAAACTTCAGAAATTGTCTGTTACACATATGTATTTAATATACTGTACATAGACAAATGGTTTCTTTCTATCAATATGGGGGTTATGGAGATTATTATGTTTTTGATTGAGATCATGAACTGATTGATATTAGACCACCATTGAAAATCCGGAAACACTGGATGGTCGTTTCGTCCTATTGTGGGACTCCTCAGCAGTGCTCATCCACAATCCCGCTCGCTGGATTCGAACTCAGGACCTTCGATCTTGTGTACGAACGCTTAACTTCTAAACCACTGATTCAGCTGACATTCAACAGTGTTAATGTCTAACCTTAATCAATCCATCCATCGAATTGCGCAACCATCTTCCATTGTACTGAGGTAGATACCTATCTCTACCCGATACAGATTCTATGTTTAAAAATAGTAATTGATAAACATTTTATACAAGTTTAAAGGAGGATACTTATGTTATTAGCTAATTTAATACTGTTCTCAAGACTTTCAGATTATAAAGTTTTTCAAGAGCGATAGAATCGTACATGACATGTGTTGATCATAATAAGAGTTGTATTTTATAAACATATAACACTCCACCATGTTGTTGTTCCAATGAATGAATAGGCAAGTCAATGGTTTCACGTATTCACTCCATTCGCATTACTTCTGTTTGGGTTAGCTAGTAGTATCATTGATTATCGTATAAGTTAAAGCTTAATACATTAAGTGTGTACTTTCTGAATGGGTTACAGTTTATCTTATAAATAACATCAACTGAATAATGAACGATTTTTCTACATCAGTAAGTAATCTATTTTTTGTTTATAATTCTCTTGTCAGTAAATCTGAATCCAATTAGATGTTCATGTCGCTGCTGCACCCGCTTTGCTGAATGTGTCAAATTAAAGATTGAGTTGCTCGTCGATTGGTTCGTTTATCGGATCCGTAGAGTTCTAGATGATCACCGTCTGCGTAGACTTACGGGTTGCGTTTAGTTCGATGTAAAGCTTATCACTTTAGTGGTGCCATAGTCTTCGATTTTTGATCGTATGGTCAAAAACTGCGTTGTTTATCGATTGGCCTGGCTTCGGTGAGTTTATTCGTCGAAAGTATGGAGTGCGGAAGGTTTATCATCGGCGTAGTTTGATGCGTTATGATCATTGTCGGCGGGTTTACCACTTTTGTGGTCCGTTATTTTGATACCAATTAGATTGGTTTAATGATTGTTTTCAAAATATACATCCTTGCTATCCTTGTATACAATCATCGACTTAACTCGCGTTGGCGAATAACGGAATTAAATAAGTCAAATATGAGAATATCTCCCGAATTTAGAATAAGTTATGTGGGCTCGAAATAGGACCAGCCAGTACATAAATATGAAAAATTCAATACCAACGGGTTATGTAATTTTGCTACCGGGTTGATAATTGAGACGTTTAGTTTCCAATGTTACAATATGTAATGTTTCACATGATGAGGAGAAGCTAATGTATTTTGTCGTAGGCGGGATTGTGTTGATAATCACCATAAATTTCATATGCTGTAATGGTGGTAGTGTGTCAGGGAAAAAAGATCAAATATTTCGTAGGTTTTAGTGATTTCGAGTGTTTATTTGAACGTCTTATACTTTTTAGACATAAGCTTCCCATACGGATGGTGTTCGTTGGCTTTTATGTTTCCCATTTCGATTATTCAAGAGGTTTATTTAATTAATGATGCTGATATTGTTAAATTTTTCATTGAGATCATGAACCCATTGGTGTTAGATCACCATTGAAAACCTGGAAGCACTGGACGGCCGTTTCGTCATTAGACATTAACACCATTGGATGCCAGCTCATTGGTCGAACATGTAGTTTAATCTATCGTACCATATCTTAGCGTTTTCACTATCGAATACTACCAGGTTCCAATTTGGTCGGAATCTAACGATATTCTTTTTCTAAAACAATAAATTAACAAATTGATGCTTAACAAAAAGCTGAATGATAATTTGTAAAGAAAAGTAGTAGAGCGAATGGTTGTAATCAAAAAAATTAAATGTATGATGATAGCGTTCAATGAGGGATAGTCTAAGTATTGCCACTGGCTTGTATTCTAAGCCATAACACATAGAGTCTAAAGCTAGTGAGCCACATGATCTGTAGAGCTCCACATAGGTTGTCTGATGAATGTAAAGAAATCAAAAAGATTTTTCGCAATATAACGTACAAGAAAGTGAACATGTTCTTAAGGTAATTATAATCTTTTAGAATGTAGTGCATTATTTAAAAGCATTACAAGCAGGGATGGATGGTGTCTATCAGTGGGATTTGGGATGCGCGTTTCGTTCTATTCAGGACTCGTCAGCTGGACGTACCTACATCCCGGGATTGATGTTCATTCCAGGACTCGAACCTAATACCATTCGTTTTAAACACCATTGTGTTATGCACTCAGCTACTAGATCTAGATAACTACTGGCTTGTGCAATGGGGTGAAGTTTTTTTTGTTCATTTTGTATTGGTTGTTTGAATCGTCCAATTGACGTTTAGAACTGCAATTGATCAGTCTCTTATTGGTATACGTGCATCCTATACGGATTGACTCTATATGGCCTTAAATGACCAGAATTATAAGCAGAGATGTATGTAATTTTTAGTCTATTCGACCAGCTACTTAAATATCATTTCAGTAACAATGAATTATGTACAAGAAGTTGCTGTTGAAAATCTGCCAATAAATAACGAAACAAAATTCAAAAGATAAGCATTGACTGATGTTATTTTGCTTCTTAAGAATACCAATTCATTATTTTCTTCTATCCTTCAAACATCAACAAAATTTTCTTTTGATTTGGGATTTCCTGTTTGATTTCCTATTTCTGCACCGACTCCAGGTGTGACGAATTGGTTCGACGAAAACTCGTTCTATATCGTACAATGATGATGGATGATTGAGGATCATCTTCTTGGAATTACTGAAAAATGTCAAATGTTTAGATAGGCATATATATATATATATAATTGTATTGATTTGGTGCAAAACACCTACTGTTGTGAATGTTCATCGACTATGGTTATCGGGACACAATCAATCACAATCAACCTAAACGTGTAATATTGGTTGGATTAAAAGTGATTTATCATTGTTATTAAGATTATTTCCATTCCATTGTTATTGATGTTGACTTCATATCGTTATATTAACGTAGTATGGAAACTTGAATTAGAGCATATTCGTACCAGACTGTATGTTGATTACAATTGAATATTGAAACTAGCTAAGGGGACATTAATCACTTATAAACTAAGACAAACGAATTTTACTACTTTGGGATTGAGAATCATCACTGATGCCACTAGGTGATTATCAAGGTAAGCCATTAGGTTTTCATTAAGTAAGCAAAACCTGTTGTGTATGACATAAAAACATAGATTATATAGTTTGCTCGTGTCTGTCTTCACAGATGTATAATGGATTAGAGTCTTTAAGTCAATTCAGTCCTTTTATCAATGAACAGCAAGAAACAGGTGCTAACCAACTTTTAATTTCTTTATAAACATCATTTATTTATTTATTTAAATGCATAAACATTGGTACAAGGAAGCACCAGATAGATATGTGCTACATAAATCATTCAATTCGTTTGAGGGCTGGGATACTGCCCAGGTGCCCAAACCGAAACAGATGGTTTTTCATACACATAGTTCCCTTTATCATTTTGAAAAGAGCTAGAACAAAGATTTTAGCAGAATAGCATGAATTCATTTTATTTCGTAGGTTCTCATCTCATACTATTCTGCTAAAATCTTTGTTCTAGCTCTTTTCAAAATGATAAAGGGAACTATGTGTATGAAATTTCTCAAAAAACGCCTCCCTGAACAGTTATTTAAGTCATTAAATCACTTTTTGACAGTACGCTGCAGAATATCAAGAGAAGTGACAAGGGTCAAGTTTTTTGGAGAATGTCTCACGTCGGGCTATTTCCCACGGCAGTTTGTAAAATCTTTACGTTCATGTAAACTTCCACCATCGCTTAAAGAACTAAGACGCATTACCAAATCTCATATTGAATCGACAAAATTACTCATTACACAACTAAGGACTGAGGCCAGTGCTTTTGTTAGAGCCGTTAATGATTTAAACATCGTATGTCGAATAAAATTCATGAACTTCATTCGTGATCTTCAAATCAAGGTTTGCAAGGATTTCCATAAATCTCTATCGAAAACTCTGTTAAGAGAACAACTATGTTTAGGGTTTCCGGAAAACCCTTCGAAGTTTATCTATAACTTATCAAATACGAAGCTCAATAGTATAGAAACAGAAGCCTTATCACTTGGACTCAAATTTCATATACCGAAAACAAATACGGACAGGATTGATACAGAAGCTCAATTTGAAAATCTGTTTGACCAGTTAAAAGATTTGCAACCAATGAATGAGGAAAAGAAAGGATGGTTCAAATCAAAGTTAGTTGATATTGCCAACCAATACTTCGTGTCATCGACACCAAAGTCGAATGTTCTATCCAAAGAACATCTAACAGCCCTAAGAAACATCAAACAAAATAATGAGGTGATGATTCTACGACCGGATAAAGGTTCAGGTGTAGTCTTAATAGATACAGCTGATTATGTAACTAAGATGAAGTCAATCCTAGACGATCAACTTAGGTTCAAGGTAGATAAATCCAAAAAAGATTTGACTGATTCAACAGAAAAACGAATCACAGGAATGCTCAGAGAACTTCTAAAAAAGAAAATGATTGATAATTCTACTTACAACGATCTAAGACCACGTGGTTCACGTCTACCTCATATGTATGGTT